TGGCAATTTATAGCCGTGGAGTTTGTAGAGCGGAACAGAGGTATATCACAAACCCATAATAACAATTACCTTTTTAACTTTAGCAAGTTGTCTCTATTAAAATGAATAAAGTTTTGAGAAGAAACAGAACATTTATATATCTGCATAGTATTGAAATCAGAATTATTGCCCTTCAAAATCCAGGATCTACAGTCAGCACCTTGATGGTATCACAAGCTTAGCACTGTTAATAAAATGCCTCTTATTGAATACCTACCATGTGTCCCACGTTGTGCCAGGCACTTTATACATGCTAACTCAACCCTCAGAGTATTTATTGGGCCCCTACTCTGTGCAAACCCAGATAGATGTTGCCTCCTTCTATAATGCACTTCGTAAGTATAATCTTTGATAACAGCTATAGTCACAGTAGAGCCTCTGTTGTTATTGTGCAAAAGACATTCTAAAGCCATTAACTGTTTGATTAAAAAAATTATGCAAAGAACAAGCTTAGGTTCCATACTGTAAAATGCATCAGCTGCAACTGTACTCATCTGTGGTTGGAGAGGCCAGTGTGTTCCCAGTTGGGTTATGGCTTTGTTTAGAATTAAGAGGCTTATAAAGGAAGCCATAGAAACCCTGAGTTCCCCAATTGCTGTAGTACAGGAAACAGGGCAGTTAGTCAGCATCTATTGTCCTGACTGGATTGTTTAAGATACAATTTCAAGACAATCTGAAAACACCACATGGCTCAATTATGTGGTTATTCAACATCAGGCTCGCTCTTATTAAGGTTTGCATTTACGAACAATTGTAGGAAGGGCATTTCGGCAACTTTCATAAAATAGCTATTTATTACATTATCATTAGGTTCCAGTCCCTTTATGTAACAATCAGAGATTGATGTGAAAAGGAAAAAGTAATGTCTCTTCTGGGTTGCTGGTCTACTTGTCAGCTGAGTGTATGACTGTGCTGGGAGCATTGTTAACCGTGATTAAATTAATAAGTCCCCCACCATTACCCACACAGCTACTTGGAGCTGCTCAGGCGAGGAGCGGTTTGAAAATCAGTGCCTGTAATTGGAGCGTCGGCCCATGTAACTTTCATCCGGAGGCTTCTATTTGAAATCACTGCTGGTTTTACCTGTTCAGTGTCATTGTGTGATGGGCAGTGCTCGAAAGCTTTGATTATCTCTCAGTTTCAGCTGCTCTGGGGAGTGACAAGTGCCCCCACTGTGAATGATTTGAATTCCGCAGAGCATATATTCTTTTTTGTTGTTGTTGTTGATTGACGGTTTTATTTATTGACTGGAATTTAGCACTTGAGAATTGTATTTGCAAGTGAATACAGAATCAATATTTTGCTGGGTGACAGAAGCCAGACACGAAAGAGCTCGTGCTGTTTGAGTCCATGTATATGAAGTTCAAGAACAGGCAAAGCGAATCAAAGGTAATAGAAGGCAGAAGAGTGGTTGCCGCTGGGGGGGTATACACTGCAAGAAGCATAAACCCAGTTGCTGTCTAGTTATCTCCAACTCATGGAGACCCCATGTGTGTCATAGAGGACTTGTGTGCAGAGCATATATTCTAAATGAGACCATCCCAAACACACTAGCCGTTGGCTGCCAGTCCCTTTGAGGGCTCCTCAAAGGGAGTGTCACTACTGGGCCACACCCCAGGCTGCTGATTCACAGCCTGGGGGTGGGGCCAGGCCATATTTTTTAAAAGCTCCCCAGGTGATTCCGACACGCACCTTCCACTAAGAACCACACTTGTAATGATTCTATTGTATCTTTAAAAATAAAAAAATTGTAACCCACCACAAATTCTTAGACAAGAACTAAACAATAAATTTGACATTTAAATTCAGTGTGGTTAAAGCATTATTGAACACATTTGTTGTTTTTGGTAACTTTTATATTACTCAGAAAATGCATCCGTGCTTCGGATGACATTTTCATTCAAAAGGGCAAGGTGGGGGTGTTGGGTGGGTGGAAATTTATAAATGACTGAACAAGTTTCCTTCCACTATTGAAATTTCTTATTAATATTTGAGATTGCCTGTCCTTATCTACAGAAGACTGGAGGTTTATATGGAGCTCCTTAAAGATGATGAGGAACTGGGTGCATGGGATCCTTATCTTCCTGAATATATCTTCTGCCTCTCTGCCTACACAGCCATCTTCTTTGTGTTTCCTCTTCTTACCCCTTTTCTGTGCCTCTGTGGTTCCCAGAGGCAGGGTTCTCAGGTCTGCAGTTTGCTTTGTCTTCATCCTTCCGAGAGCTGAGTTGCCATCGAATTGATCCCAACTAATGGCGATCCCATGTGTGTCAGAGTAAAACTGTGCTCCATAGGGTTTTCAATGGCTGAGTTTTTTGGAAGTAGATCACAAGGCCTTTTTTCCCAGGCACCTCTGGGTGGACTTGAACCTCCGGCCTTTCAGTTAACAGCCGAGTACATTAACCATTTGCACAGTCTTTATCTCTAGCCCTGACCCCTAACCTGATACCTGACCCTGCATTTCCACTTGTCTGTGGTTTGTTACTCACTGTGTGGCCCTCTGTATTGCCTGGGAGCTTGTAAGAAATGCAGACTCTCAAGCCCACCCCAGATCCATGGGATCAGAATCTGCCTTCTAACAGCATCCCCACGTGGTCCCTATGCACAGTTTGAGAGACACTGGTCTGTGGGACATCACCCTGTTTTAAATTAAGCACTCACTCTGATCACATCCCTTCTCTCTCTTTCTCCTGTCAACCCAAGTCTGCCTATCAGTTGGACTGTTCTTTTTCCAGACTATAAATCTTGGCTTCATTTTTTATTTTATTCTTCGTCTCATCATTGGTTTGTTCAGATATTTATTGACTGCCTCCCAGACCTAGGTGTTAGAGCTAGAGAGAGCAAACCCAGACATGATTCCTACCCTTAATGTCTAGCAGGTATAGCAGATATTAATCACATCATCTGTTGTGATTATAATAATCACTAGCAGTTAATGATGCACTATATAAACCCATTGCCGTTGAGTCGATTCTGACTCATAGCGACCCTACAGGACAGAGTAGAACTGCCCTATAGAGTTTCCAAGGAGCGCCAGGTGGATTTGAACTGCCGATCTTTTGGTTAGCAGATGTAGCTCTTAACCACTGTACCACCAGGGTTTCCAATGCACCATATAGGGGAGTCTATACAAATACATGACTAGTTAGGAAGAGCAGGGGAGGGTTCTCTGGGTGGCGCAGTTAAGTGCTTGACTAGCCTCGGAAGACAGGCCAGGTGATCTGCTTCCAAAACGTCACAGCCTTGAAAACTCTATGGAGCAGTTCCATTCTGCACATGTGGGGTCGCCAAGAATCAGAATCAACTCCATGGCAACTAACAAAAACAACTCTGTTATGGCCTCATTGCCATAACAAAAGGAAGAGCAGGGAGGGCTTCCCTAAGGAAGCAGTGCTTGTGCTGAGGGATGAATAGATCGGGTGAAGAGCAGAAAGAGCTTTCCAGACAAAAGGAATAGCATATGCAAAGACTCAGCTCATCATAGAAAGCTTCACCCTCATTATCTTCTGCCCAACCCTGCCAGATTTAGGCCTTCTTTCTTCAAGCCAAGGAGCTGGTCTAGAGCCTGCGCCACCTTCCACCTGTACTATAGGACCACAGCCTACCAGTGCTCAGTTGCGCACCTTTTCAATGTTTTAGTCTACAGTACAACATTATAAGCACCCCAGAAGCCTCCTGTGCCCCCGCCCAGTCACTACACCCAAAGGTAACGACTTTCCTGCCTTCTTTCAGCGTTGATTAGCTTTGCCTGTGTTCTGAACTTGACATAAAGGGATTCATGCAATACCAAAAAAAAAAAAAACAAACAAACAAAAACCAAACCAACTGCGGTCGAGTCATTTCAGACTCAGTGACCCTATAGGACGAGAGTAGAACTGCACCGTAGAGTTTCCAAGGAGCGCCTGGCAGATTCGAACTGCTGACCTTTTGGTTAGCAGCCATAACTCTTAACCACTACACCACTAGGGTTTCCACGCACTAGATAATCTTTATTGTGTCTGGCTTCGTTTGCTCAACATTACGTTTGCGTAGAATTCATTCATGTTTTACATGTAACTGTAGTTCATCTATTTTTTTTGCTGTATAACTACACCTTATACCACAATTTATTTGTTCTGTTGATGGGTATTTGAGTATTTCCCAGTTTGGGGCTATTTTGAATATTCTTATACATGTCTTTTAGTGAATAAGTGTACAGTTTTTTGCTGGGAATATGCCTGGGAGCAGAATTGTTATGTCACAGATATATACACATGCATATGTTCAGCTTTAGTAGTTACTGCCAAACTGTTTTTCAAAGTAGCTATACTAATTTACGTTCTTACCAGCAGTGCATGAAAGTTCCAGTTGCTTCACACCCTTATCAACGTTTGGTTTAGTCAGTCTTTCCACTGTAGCCATTCTGGTGGCTATGTGGTACTGTTGCTTTGTGGTTTTGATTTACATTTCCTTGGCAGCTAATGTGGTTGAGTATCTTTGAGTCGTTTTTCATGTTTTCTGCAGGTTGTTTGTTTTTTCACTTATATATTTGTAGGGATTTTTATAAATTCTTTGCGGACATATGTATTGCAAATGTCTTCTCCTCTCTGTGGGTTACCTTTTTACTCTTCTAATTGTTTCTTTTAATGAATAGAAGTTCTTAGTTTTAATGTAGTTCAATTTATCAGTACATCTTTTCATGTTCTAAATCATATTTATATCACATTTAGTTCTGGAAAACCTTAAGGGCAGTATAAACAAATATATAAAATACAAAACATGAGTAGAAGTTAGTAGAAAGCCTGGAAAATATAAATTAGAAGAGATTTAGACCATAATTATATAATATAATTCTCTTACAATTGAGTAATACATTTTGCTTAGAGCTTCTTAGAAGTCAAAGCTCAAATGGAAACATGGTTTGTCATCTGTGAGTTACCTCCGACAGCATTGTGAGGATCAAATAACATACATATGCAGGGACTTGGTAGGCTGTGAAGTGCATTCACATGTAACTGGAAATTTGGACATCAAAGGGCTAACGGGTATATCTTATGTTACAGGTTATTCAACGATAGTTATGACCTCCCGGTTACGTGCGTTGGGTGGAAGAATTAATAATATACGCACCTCAGAATTACCCAAAGATAAAACTCGATCCGAAGTCGTCTGCAGCATCCGCTTTTTAGATGGCTTGGTACAGACGTTTAAAGTTAACGTAAGTTTCCCAGATTTTATTTTAACTGACTTAATGCTCCTAAGAAATTGTTTTTATCTCTTAGATGCTTTACAAAATGCAGGAAAAAAATATTTCAAAATGAAAGCTTGATCATTTCAATTACCTCTTAGAGCCTGTATGTTGAGATTGGATTGGAAATGCTCTTAAAACTCGGCGCACTTTCTTGCGTCTGCTTGAAGTGTCTTTCTGCCCTCTTTTTTGTGACTAAAGTGGATAGTCCTTAGACGTTATCTCTTCTGTGACGTCCTCGTCACCTTCCAGAAGCAGAGCTTCTTCTCTGTTAGTGGTGCTCTGCATATGCTTTATTAGAGCCCATGTCACATTGTATTAAAAAGTTATAATTATTAGGTGATATGCCACTCATTAAAGTATGAGCTCCTTGAGGACAAGAATGGTCTCCTTTCCCCTGTGCCTGGCCCAAGCCCGAGCACACAGCTCACGTACAATGTACAAATGGGTTGGTCCTATCTGGAGGGTTGTGAGACAGTCAGTTTCACAAATGACAGAGCTCAGAGAGATGGTAGTTTATCCCACCTCAAGCCCATGACAGAGCTGAGGCTAGAAACCAGGCCTCCAATCTCTCAGACCAGCGGTAAGATGCTTGAACAATAGCAGTGATCGGCCAGGGTGGTGGTGTAGGGGTAGCTAAAAGAAGCCAGGTCTGGAAAAATTTTGAAGGTGGAGCCAATAAGATTTGCTGATAGATAGGATTTGGGGTGTGAAAGAAAGAGAGGCCTCAAGGTGACGGCAAGGTTTGTGACCTGAGCAACTGGCTAGATGGAGTTGCCATTTATAGGAATGGGAAAGACTGCAGGAGGGATAGGTTTGGGGGACGAAATCACCAGTTCTGTTTTCGACATGTTGAGTTTGAGATGCTTATTATTTATCTTGGCGTCCCGGGCTGGTGCAAACAGTTAAGGAGCTCAGCTACTAACTGAAGGGTTGGCTGTTTGAGTGCACCCAGAGGCATCTTGGAAGAAAGGCCTGGCAATCTACTTCTAAAAATCAGCCATTGGAAACCTTATGGAACACAGTTTTACTCTGACACACGTGGGGTTGCCATAAGTTGGAATCAACTTGACAGAAATTAGTTTTGATATTTATTCATCTAAGTGGAAATGCAGAAATGATAGATAAACAAGTCAGGAGTTTCAGGAATGAGTGGAGGCTGCAGGTACAAATTTGGATGGTACCAGGTTAGAGATGCTATTTCAAGCCATGAAACTGGATGAGATCACCTGAGAAATACGTATAGACAGAAGATGTGGGGTTCAATATTTAAAGATTGGAGAAATGAGGAGCAAGTTCTAAAGGAGAGTGAGTGAGAAGGACGAGCCAGTGTGGAAGGAGGAAACCAAGAAAGAATACCTGGGAAACCAAGGCAAGAATGTGTTTTAAGGAGGAGGAGTGATCAGCCCTGTAAAAAGGGGCTAAGAGAAGTACCTACCCTGAGTGATAACTCGTATTAAGCCCTCAGAACAGAGCCCTGCGCACAGTGAGCCCCAGTCATTCTCAGTTATGAACATTGTTGTTGTTGTCATGTTGCTGCCAGCCACAAACTTCTGGGCAGCCTGGGCCACAGCTGACTCAAATCGGACTTGGAGAATTTGAGTGCCTTGTGACAGCTTAGAATCTCCATCTCTCTGTATTTGTCTCCTTGTGGGGCTTGTTTACACTGTCTGGACAACAGTTATTTGGTGCCCCAGCCCAAGAACCAAGCCAGTCACTAGTGACCACCTGGTATCAGCAAAGATGACCTCTTGTGCAGTGGGGGTAGGGCTGTGAGGCCAGCTCTTATTATAAAGGTGTCTTTTATTATATTTCAATTTCTTTTTTAAAAATAATTAGTTTTATTTTGTTGTTATCGAAAATGTGGCACATGGTTAAAAGCTTGGCTGCTAACCAAAATGTCTGAGTTCAAATCCACCAGCAGCTCCTTGGAAACCCTACGGGGCAGATCTACTCTGTACTCTAGGGTCGCTGTAAGTCGGAATCGACTCAACGGCAGGGGGTTTGGTTTCTGTTGAAAATGTACACAGCAAAACATACACCAATTCAACCATTTCTACAAGTACATCTATCAGTGACATTGATTACGTTCTTCAAGTTGTGCAGCCATTCTCATCCTCTTTTTCCAAGTTATTCCTCCACCATTGTCATGAACTCACTGCCCCCTAAGTTTCTTATCTAACCTTGTGAGTTGCTGTTGTCATTTTGATCTCATATAGATCTTTACAAGAGCACAGTGTTCAAGGCAGACTTTTTTCTTTTTTATTATGCTTTACCTGAAAATTTATAGAGCAAGTTAGTTTCCCATTCGATAGTTAGTACACAAAGTGTTCCATAACATTGGTTGCATTCCCCACGATGTGTCATCCCTCTCTCCACATCCGTCCTGGGTTCCCGTTCCTTTTGTCTGGTTTTTCTACCCCTTCTTGCCTTCTCTTCTTTGCTTTTGAGCCAATGTTGTCCTTTTAATCTCATATAATTGATTGTTTAAGGAACATTTTCCTTTTGGATGTTATTGTTTATTTTTTGGGCTTGTCTATTGTTTGGCTGAAAGGTAATCTCTGGGAATGGCTTCTGTTCCAGGTTAGAAGGAAGGCAGACTTTCTTTCCTAATTAAACTGAACTGTTGTTTAAAGAAGACTTCAGGGGATATTTTTGGTTTAAGATTTAAGGTTTAAAGATTATCTCAGGGCAATAGTTTTGGGGATTCATCCAGCCTCTATGACTGCAGAAAGTCTGGATTCCATGAGAAATTGTATTCCATTTCCTTTTGAGAACTGGATGAGTTCAGCAGACACTACCCAAATGAATGAATTATGTATGCACTTCAGAGGAGAGAGATGTAGTATAGTGGCAAAATATGGACTTTGGCCTCAAGCAGATCTGCGTCAGGCAGTCAGGCCATCCATTAGCTGACCGAGCAAGGCAGGTAGACTCTCAGTGCCTCTGTTTACACATCTCCAAAAGGGATGGTGATAATTACTTTGCAACGTTGCCTCAAAGATTAGAGGTCATGTGTAAAAAGTGCACTTAGTATTATGTCTGACTCCTTGTAGATGCTCAATAATTATAGTTTTTATTAATATGTATAAAATATAAAATTACATATAAATAACAGTTCGGCAGTGGTTATTGGTGATGGTTGACAACATGATTAATGTAATGGTGTCACTAAATTGTACATGTGAAAAACATTGAATTGGCAAGTGTGTTATATATATATTTTTACAAGCTAAAAAAACAAAAACCGAAAAACCCTGGACAGTCCCACACAGCCATATGTTGAACGAATAAACTTAGAGAACAGTTGAAAAGAAAATCATGTATAAATAATTTCAACAAGGGGAGCAGACAGCTCTTTGAAGCATGAAGAGTATCTCATAATTGGGGAGCCAGTGTCAGAACCTGTGGCGCAGGTCATTCCACACCCATCGTGGTTCTCTTGTGATAGAAGGTGTTTCAAGCAGAGGAAGCAGCGGGTACAGGGGCCCTCAGGTGAGAAAGAGGGCGTGTTCAGGAAGTGGGTTGGTTTCATGTTCCCATACTTCAAATAGTAGTGAGGCTGCCCCAAAGAAGTGGCCGTGCAGTAGGGGAGCTGACAATTATCTCCTTGTCCTCATTCCCATCACTGTGACCTATTTGCAGCTCACAGACTCTCAGAAAAAGTTACCTTTGCCTGTTCTATACATAATCTATTTCTGACTCATATTGTCCTTAAGTTAAATGGTTGGTGGGTTCAAAGGATTCCTGAGAAGTCTGCTTGTAAAAGTAGAGTTTGCAGTTTCCCAAATGAGCTGTGCTGTTTCCCACCCTGTGCCTTGGTGTGTGCTGGCCCATCTGCTTGCAATGCCCTTTCTTAGCTTGTGCACCTGGAGGGCCAGGGGCAGCACTCCACCCTCTCATCCTTCCAGACCCAGGTCAAGGGGTCCTTCTGCTTTCCCTAGGTGGAGTTGGCCATTTGTGCTGTCCTCTTGTGTGGTCACTGTACCCTGTGTGCCTCACAGTATTCACCATACTGTGTTGCAGTCTCTGCTTCCATGCCTAGCCTCTCGGGGAGGACGGGAAAGGGGGACGTATTACAGCTTGGTCCCCATACCCACTCCGTGCCTGCTTCGTCAACACTGAATGTTGAAGGCCTGAGTTCTGGTCTGGAAGTGACATATGGTTGAAGTGGCTTCTCACTTCAGATGTGAGTGAAGCAGATAATCCCACAGGGTGATTCATGCCAAATCACTCTGTGGGTATTTTGGACGGCGTTTGGGTATTTTTAGCCATCTTCATCTCTGCTGTTAAGTAGAGAGTTTTCTTCCCTGTGCACACTTCCGTGGCTCCTTCAGGCAAAAGAGGCAACCAAACCTGACCTGGGATTAGCGTTTTGCTGTGGATGATCCACGGGCAGGTCACAGAGAGTTTACTGTAGTTAGGATGGCTGACTTTTCCAGGTTAGACGTCAGCCCTGGGGAATCTCAGCTAAGGGGAAGGAAGAAATCTTAGAAAATTAAATAAAACTCTAATTGTCTTCAGTCACATTTAGGTAATTTTTCTTAGCCCTATTCCCATATGTGTTGTGTGACTTCTTGAAATTTATTAAACATTTTCTTACTGTGAAAAATGTGTATGCATAAAATCTGAGTATTTTAACTCCTTTTTGCCTGCAAGAAAGACTTTTTCACCACCAGTTCTTAATTAATTCTAAATAATTTGCTTACTTGGTGATTTTTTTTCCCCTAGAAACAAGATACTGGTCAAGTTCTTTTGGATATGGCATACAACCACCTGGGTGTAACAGAAAAGGAATATTTCGGTTTGCAACATGGCAACGACTCGGTGGACTCTGCTGTAAGTGCCATCCTGTTAAGATGTACAGGATTCCTGCATGGCTTGGTTTTATATCTTCTGTTTTCTTATTCAACAGAGATGGCTTGAATCAAGCAAACCCATCAGGAAACAATTAAAAGGTTGGTGTGATCTCTTCGTTTCCCTTGACCATTAGTTGTTAATGTATCGTGGTCTGTTTCTCTCCTCTGATCATCAGCTTGTCTGGAACATCTGGTACCTGGACTCCAGGTGGTCCAGGAGATGTGAGTGAGCTGACTGCTGCCGGTCTGACTTCTGAGTTAGCAGAGATGGCTCCAGATCAGCCCTAAGGGCTCCTTATCAGCTGTGGGCAAGAAAAGGAAAGGGGAGACTAGGCAGCTAAGCATAAGGGAACCCAAATTTATTTTTACAACGTAGAAAAGGGAAGGATGATGGCCTTTTCCAGTCCATATAGGAGTCAGAGTGGGAAAGAGACAGACAGACACACACATGCATTGCCCTCCCTAGCACTTTCCAACAACACAGTTACATTCACTAGGACCCAAACCATAGGTATATAGTGTCACAAATACACAGTCCATTCTCTTTATCGTTATCCAAGGTATTTGTTCTATAAAGTTGTTACAAACACTGAGTTAGCAAGATTCCTGCAAGCCTCTGGTCACAACATTTTCATCAGCTGATCAGTATATAATCTTGTTTTATGTGTATTTCTGTTTAAAGATAGCTTGTTTCACATGTATTGTTGATTCATTAACGTTGAACTCACAGCCAGCAGCACTATAACTTACGCCTAAACGAAGCTCGTCTAACACATTAGTATTTTCTCTGTAATGCAAGGTGCAGCCTTCTTACACTTAGGAACACTCTACAGCACTTTGCCATTTTAAACAGCCAAATCACCAACAAAAAGCACAAAAACGCAAAAAGCATGACATTACATAGACAACAAAAAGGACACTTGTGTACAAGTATAAGAACTGAAACGAGAAGGCAGAGTATCACTTGACCTCAGTTGGGAACATGCATTTCAAGCAACTCACATTTTTGCCACTTTGACCCTGTCCACAGATGACCTCAGAAGTGCCATGAGTATTGATTTTGGGGTTACAAATAAATGTTTGCAAATAGATGACTTCTCAAATACAGAAGCCATGAGTAATGAGGACTGACTGTAAAAGATTAATCTTAAAATACAGCTCATCAACCACTAGTGGATTCCCAGTGCTGCAGGTGAACGCCCAGTTAGGTGAATGTTCAAGCCATACTTTACCCCACTGTCCACCCAGACCCAATTTCAGCCTGGTTTTCCAACATGGGCTTCATTGTTTCCCTTTATTCACCTTAACACCCCAGACAAGTCTGGCTCATCTGCAGAGCCTCACACACTCCTCTGTGCCTCTGCTCAGTCCATTCCCTCTGTTTGGAATGCTTTTCCCTCTCCTTTCCTTATATCCAGAGGAGCCTTGGTGGTGCAGTGGTTAAGCACTCAGCTGCTAGCCAGAAGGTCAGTGGTTCAAACCTACCAGCCACTCCGCAGGAGAAAGATGTGTCAGTCTGCTCCCATAAAGATTACAGCCTTGGAAACCCAATGGGGCAGTTCTACTCTGTTCTGTAGGGTCGGTATGAGTCAGAATAGACTTGATGGCAATGGGTTTGGTTTTTTTTTTTTTGGTTTTCCCTCTATCCAAATCTTACCGTTCTTCAAGGCTGCTTATATCCCATCTCCTTTCCTGCTAGAAGCCATGATCTTCTACACCCGCTTACATTGGTCACTATCTGCTTCATGGCTCTGAACACTCTCCCTCATCTCTTATGATTGTCTTTATCTCCCTCAAGTTCCTTGTGGTTAGGGCCCTTGCCACATTCTTCTCTGATTCCTCGCAGTGCCTGACATACAGGAGGTGGCCAGTGAATGATTGAGGGGTGAGTGGCAGGTGGATTTGTACACACAAGTTTACATTCACATAATGCCACATCCCATCACTTGCCCCAGCCACCAGATGGGAAGGAGTAGAGACAGATAGCCATTATTTTGATCCTGGGAATGACCTCTCTTTCTCTACCACTGCTGCCCTCACCTGCAGCAGGGTCCCCAGAATTCTTACCTCCCATGAGTAGGTGTGTCATTAAGCACTCAGAAATAGCCACAGGGAGCCACAGAGCCATTGTGGAGATAAATACCTGCCCCTATGTGATTCACAGAGGAATGAATGCACACAAGGTATGACAGGCATTTTCTCACTCACTCACTCATTCGACAAACATGTGCTCAGACTTTTTTGGCAAGGTTCAGGGCTGACTGAGATTTGGGGATCCAGGAGCTCACAGCCAAATGTGTGGCCACAGACCAGGAGAGGGACAGCTCTCTGATAAAACTCCACACGTGATAGGATGCTCTGGGCGCACAGACTAGGATAAGAAAGGCTTCGTGGAAGAAGTCGTGCCTGAGGCAAAAAGATGACAAGTTATAGAAGGGGGCACGGTGGAAGATGAAAGGGCATCCCAAGGCAGGGGGCGGGGTAACTCAGCTGTCCATTGATGTGCAGGTGGTCATCCTGCTCACAGAGTTACAGTGCCCCCACCAGTACCCACACACATGTACAGAGATCCACTAATAGGTCCACACGCACCACAAAAGATTCTTGGAGCACAGTCAGAGATAAAGATGAGAGACATGAAAAGAGATGAGAGGGTGGAGCCCAGGATGAACTAAGGTAGAGAGGAAATAAGTAGCAGGGATAGGGGCCATGAAGGGAGCAGGGTGGTAAAGGACTGAGTGAGTTTCAGCGAGCAAGAAAGTGCTAAACACACAGACTGCCAATGTTTGCCAACTATTGGCAAGGGGTGAAACTGATGTGAAGACAAGCCCAGGATCTTAGCAACACAATCTGATTCTCTCCTGTTACCCTATCTAGGAAAAGAAATGGACTGATTTTATATATGCAAGTGAATTGGCTCTTGGTGTTGATGCATAAAGCCATGTTTGAGTATGTTGATTGTGTAATATTCCCTAGTATATTCATTGTTTTTGGGATTTGCTTTACATTAAAAGCATGAAATATTTCCTAGTATAAAAATGATCTTGAAATGTGTCATAACAGAATCAGATGCCTTGGTGTCCTGAAATTCTGGTTTTGTCGTTAGCCACGTGGCCTAAGGCAAGTCACTTATGTCTCTAAGCGTGTTTGCTCGTGTGTAAAGCAATGCTATCAGTAGTAGCCTGGCCTACTTATAGAGTCATGGTAGCGTTTAAATTCAAGAATGTACATGAAAATGTTTGAAAAGTGTAAATCACTATATAAATATAAGCTGTTCTTTCTTAGTTAATTTTGTATGATACATGATTTAATGATTTTTTTCAATACTTAATACAGATAATAGTTTGACCATAACCCTGTGTTAAACATGTAATAGTTGATGTTGCATAAATATTTTACTTTTTGTAGACTTGGAGATGTCTGAAACAATCGATTCACTTATGCACGCCTTATTTGAAATTAGTCCTTTTATGCTGGAAAAAAAATGTGGTCTGGTGAAAAATGCATTACTTATGGGAGAGAAGCAACTTACATACTTTTATTTTTTTAAGGGAAAATTTAATTTGTTTTTGAAAAATGTTGTAGGAGGTTTCCCCTGTACCCTGCATTTTCGAGTAAGATTTTTTATACCTGATCCCAACACACTGCAGCAAGAACAAACCAGGTAATAACATTTTTTCTAAGTTTCCTATTTAGTATATAAAACGAGTAACCACTAAAAAATGTACTCTTTGTTTTGTAACTATGGCCAAATACATTTGTGTATAACTGCCCCAACAATTATGATCCAAGTAAAAATTGTAGTTACACCATAATGAAATTTTAATCGGCTACTTGAGTTTTCAGTCTGGGGCCTACTTCTCACCTCCTGATTTGGTACAATTCCCAGCACACCCACATCTATCTCCTCCCACCTCCGCTGCCTCCTTCCACCTGCCTGACCCTCCTACCCGTTGGGTGCACACTGTGCTCAAGAATACAGTCATTTTCTTCTAATACAAGCAGGGTTTGGAAGATGAATTTGTGTAACAGTCATCCACAGGTCAAATGGCACAATATATCTAAAGGGCTAGAATTGAGACTGTTTAGGATAACAAGAAGTCTCTACTAAGAATGTTCTATGAGATCCCTACTTCGGAGCAGCTAGAAAAGAAAAGCAAGCTGGGGCCCAGCTTCTCTCCCTGGTAAATCAGCGGTAGCAGGAACCAGGTGAGCCAGATAAGGAGCAGAGGGCTGTTTACCCCCAAGGGCCTGGAGTCTGTCCTGACCCTGTTTTGTACTGGCATGTGGGTTTTCTGGGTGGGGGACAGGGTGTTTGGAATGCAGGGGGAGGACGCTGGGAAGTTGTTGCTTTTAAATGCAAACTATGCAAAAAACTGTGTTTTCTCTCCCCCTTGGCAGCGTTAAACCTTTTTATTATTGATCCATTTATTTTTCTTATCATCGATAGAAACTACGTATCTCACAGAAAAAAGCAACAATGCTCAGGATTATTGAATCCTGTTACCTATATATGCTTACCGTGGCCATAAACCCATTACCAATTAACTCAGATATACAGAGTGCTGACTTGTTTTTTCTTTCTTTCTTTCTTTTTTTAATGGTAATCACATGACCACATTTTAATGTTTAAAAGCCAAACATTAGACTGTTACTCTGTTTTGGCCTCTGTGTACCTCTTTCCTCTAAAATAGCAGATACTGGAGATTTGGCTATGTTTACCATCAAGTTAAGTTTTAAGCCAGCAGAAAAAATGTCTTGCATGACTCAGTGGGTGACTGCATAGAAGTACAAATTGTGCTTTTGGTTTTTCCCACAACAACTTTTTTTTTTTTTTTATGTTGATGAACTGAGGGCTAGTATAGGAGTGCTCAACACAGTAGGTCAGTTCATAGGCTGATGGACACAAAGTTGGTGATGTAATCCATAAGAAGATGTGTTCAACGTGACCCTGCCAAGGTTTCCCCAGGTCATTACTAAATATCAAGTTCTACTCAAGCGATGCGTAAACAATGGCATGGTGGATTATATATATCAGTGTGTGTGTGGTTGTGTGTGTGTATATACCAAACCCAAACCTGTTGCCATTGAGTCAATTCCAACTCATAGTGACCCTATGGGACAGAGTAGAACTGCCCCATAGGGCTTCCAGGCTGTAAATCTTTAAGGAAGCAGACTGCCACATCTTTCTGCTGTGGAGCGGCAGGTGCATTCCAACCATCAACCTTGCTGTTAGCAGCCAACACTTAACCACTGCGCCACCAGAGCTCGTGTGTGTGTGTGTGTGTGTGTGTGTGTGTGTGTGTGTGTGTGTGTGTGTGTAAATATATACATACAGTCATCTGTCGCTTAACGTCCGTGATACATTCTGTGAAATAGGACATCATGTGATTTGGACATTGTGTGAACACCATATTATTTTCTTATGGCAACTTTGAGGTAGCGAAAGTGCCCTTTACCAAGGGATAGGGAGGGCCTGGAATTGTGCTCACTGCTGTCCAGGCCCTGATCGGTGGCTACATGCCTGGGGGGTAGCAAAGACATGCGTTGAGTTGGCGAAGCCTGGGGAGTGGGCCTTAAGGCGAGGCCCTGGGGCACCCAGGAAGGCGGTAGGCCCTTTAGAGGCCCAGACAGCCCTGCAGGCCCAGTTCCCTGAGAATGAAGTCTAGGGGCACAGGGTAAGCCCAGGATAGGTTCCCCAAGCACAAGGTGGTTCGAGGCGCAAAGGTGGCAGCTCCTTCCTAGCTACATCCAGTTATGTCTGCTATGTCCCGTTCTCCAATTGAGATTTCTAAACTTATGGCACCACGGATATATACGCGTCAGATGTTGCCTAAATGGATGTTTGCAGCACATGATTGTATATATACACACACACACCACACACACACATACGTGTATATATTTAAAAGAAAAACCAAACCCGTTGCCGTCCAGTCGATTCCGACTCAGTAGCGACCCTACAGGACAGAGTAGCATTTAACCACTGTACCACCAAGGTTTCTTGTGTATATGTATTTGTGTATACATATACACACGTACATGCATACACATAGATATACATATGTGTTTATGTATAGTCGGCCCTCCATATCGCGGGTTCTGCATCCGTGGATTCAACCAATCATGGATTGAAAATATTTGGGGCGGGGGGAGAAAGTTCCTAAAAGCAAAACTTGAGTTTGCCACATGCTGAGCACTACTCGAATCCACACAAATGAAGTGATGTGTAGATATAACCCTGCTGTAACCTCCCACCATTTCACAGATCCTCAGTCTCTCTCCAGCACTTTGTTTGAACATTGTTCAAATCGTGTCTTGTCATTATTCCCTAAACAATATAGTATAACAAGTATTTACATAGCATTTACATTATATTAGGTATTATAAGTAATCTAGAGATGATTTAGAGTATACAGGAGGATAGGTGCATAGGTTGTATGCAAATATTATGCCATATTTATATAAGGGACTTCAGCATCCTCAAATTTTGGTATCTGCAGGGGGCCCTGGAACCAATCCTCTGCACATACTGAGGGATGACTGTATACACACACACACACACACGCACACATACACATATGTATACCCATGCATATGTATGCATATGTGTGTATATGTAGTTTTAACCGGTGGGGTTTTTTTTTTTTAATTACAACCCAACGCTAAAAAATTTATTTTGCTTCATAACTTAGTACACAGATATATATAAATTACTGAAACAAAAGTTTTCCGAAACAGTAAGTACAAAACACTCTGAAGTTTCTATTTTTTTTTTTTTGAATGCCTATTATGGTCTATGAAATTGATTTTACTACCATCTAATGGGTTCCTACCCCAAATGTGAATTGCATTGCCTAAGTCAGCAATTGTTACACATCACCCTGCCTCCTCCATGTTTGCTAGAGGCACAGGTTTGGGCACGCAGTGGGCCACAAAAGACATGTTAGAGCTCTGCAGTGAAAGAACTTGAGTAGAGAGATTGCTGGGGCCAGCCTAACTCAGGAGTCCCTCTCCAGGACCCCTCTTGGTCATTGGCCATCCACTTCCTTATCTCATGGGAAAGAAGCTGACTCCTTTCTGGAGCTGACACAAATCTTCTTCCCGCTGAGCTTCCTTGTCATTTGAGGGACAACTGAAGAAATGTAGGTGTTCAGGGTGGAGAGAAGACTCAGGAAGAAACAAATGCTGCCTTCAGATGTCCAAAGGGCAGTCATGGGGAGAGAGGAGGCCAACGTGCTCAGTCAGAATTAAGACCAGTGGGTGGAGGATTCAGAGAGGCAGATTTTCCCTTAAAAGGAGGAGGAATTCTTTAGCAGAGTTCTTACCTAAATCCTAGATAAAATTCAATTTGTCCATGTTCCTCCTAAAATGTACTGATTCAGAAATGATACCCCCAAACACCAATATATTTTTTAAAATATTGTGTTTTTGGTGAAAGTTTACACAGGAAATTAGATTCTCATTTAACAATTTCTATGCATATTGTTCAGTGACATTGGTTACATTCTTCACAATATATTGGCATTTTCATTATTTCCATTTTGGTTGATCTGTTTCCATTAATCTAGCTTCCCTGTCCCCCCTTGCCTTCTCATCTTTGGTCTAGGGTAAATGTTTACCATTTGGTTTCATCTAGATGATTATTTTGAGGAGCACAGTACTCATGGGTGATATTATTTATTTTATGGGCCAGTCTGCCATTTTACTGAAAGGTGACCTTTGGGAGTAGTTTGAGTCCCAAGTTTAAAGACTATCTCAGGGCAGTAGTCTCGGAGGTTTATCTAGTCTCTGCCAGTCCAGTAAGTCTGGTCTTTTTTTAGGAATTTGAGTTTTGTTCTTCGTTTTTCTCCCATTCTATCCGGGACTGTCTATTGATATTGAGTCCCTGGTCGGAACGGTCAGTAGTGGTAGCTGGGCACCATCTAGTTCTTCTGGTCTCGAGGTAGGTGATGTTGTTGTTCATGTAGACTGTTGGTTCTGTAGACTAGTTTCTTCTTTGAGTCTCTGTAAACCTCAGTGTTAATATGAGTGGTACCTTCAGTGTGGAGTATAGCTGTTACCCCTTGGAATTTGGGTACCAGACTTCTCTTAATGCAGCAGGAGTCATGGCAGTTCTCATCTCAGTGGCTTCTGTAGAGCTGGTGGACCACCAGGACTGCCAGATTTTTTTTTTTTTTTTAATGCTACGTCAAGCCTCCACCGTTAATTCATACGTCTCTCTTTAACTTAAATGAAGGGTTTTACCTTTATTCCTGGCACATAGTATCTTATTAAGCTCCAGCTTTCTAGTCTGCCCAAAAATGAATTCCCTTTTTGATGAGCTTTAGCTCACAAGAGTCAGACAAAGCGTATAAAGTGGTATTTGCTGTTGATGTTTTTGCTTCTTTTTTTTCTTTTTAAGGATCTAGGCAGGGAGACATTTATTGCTTTTTTCTGAAATTGAGTTCATGAATGGAATATACTCTAGGAGTGATCTTTGCATTTATGAAGTAAGGCATGCCAAGTATGTCTTCTAAATAACTTTCCTTTATTCTAATTGTTAAATAAATGTCTTCTTACTTCATTGTGAGCCTCCACAACTGCTGTTTCCGATAAATTTAGACCATTCTAAACAGTTAGAATTTCATTTACCTGGCAACTCTCAAATTAAAGTTAGACTTCTTAGAGAATCCTAGGAAGTCTCCTAAGTTTGGGTCACAGTCCACTATTCTGATTTATCTGAGTATGACCTTGTGAGGTTGACTCAGAAACTTTGCTGAATATATGGCAAGGTAGGTAGCATTTGGTGAATGGTGATCTCCAGGTTCATGTTCTGATGTATATCTCTAGGAAGATATACTGATTATCCAGGCTTATCAGTGAAGCCCAGGATTACCATTGGATTATCTACAACTCCCTCCCTTTTCTTCTTTTCTCTTAGTCACACTGTAGGAGGAGAGAATGCTTAATTCTGGTTGAATGTCAAGTTGGATAAACATAAAAATGAACTAGAAAGGACTAATTATGTTCTCCTAGGTGGAAAAGATAGATTCCATTACGAATAGGTGTGAATCAGCAAATATATGTTACACAGTCTCCCAGTGCTGGGTGTTAACACATTGTGGGTAGCTGATGATAATTATAACCAAAGTCATAATATCAGAGTTATGAAATTGATCCTAAGCTTTATAGTCATTAAATGTATATAAGAAATTTGTAGCATAGTCAGATTTTTTTTCATAGCATGAGTGTCTAGGTTAAAATAAGATATAGCTGGCCCCACATAACCTATCCAAGCTTTAGTTTCCTCATCTGTAAAACGGGCATGGTGGCATCTACCTCGCAGGGGTTTTATGAGGCTGACATAAGGTGATATGTTAAAAAGTACCATGCACACTGCCCAGAAGAGTACAAATAGGAAGTAGAAATACCATTCGAAGCATTCCTATTACCAAAAGCCAGCACCTTGACCTTGAAATGTGTAAATTTGAAGGAATAATAAGACTGACTGGTCTAAATTGCCAAAATTACCTCTTTCCTGCTCCTGAGCACTTCTGCTATATGTGTATTTTGTTTCAGGAGGTTTCCCTTTTGTCATCTTGGCCAGACACTGGAATGTGTATCCCATTTGAATCTGGGTTTAAAAAAGAGTGGGAGCTAATGACCAAGTGTCACATGTGAGCAGCATCCCTAAATATAAATCTCTCCTCGGGACTGGTGGCCAGCATCGCACTGGAGGAGCAGACTTACAGGCTGAGGGGCCTGCGCCTACTTGCTGCCCACAAGACAAGTCCCAGTGTTGAAGTTGCATCTGCTGGCACCTCACAGAGGTGTTAGGATTCAGCTTGGAGGTCCTGGCAGCATTTTAGTTTACTGATGTTTATACTTTTTATTGAGCACCCACAGTTCCTGGGACACAGGAAAAAACCCAGCTGGGTGTTTGCACCCCAGCCAAGGAGATGTCTTTGCAGACTCTCCTCCTCTTAGCAGCTTCCCACAGAGGGACCGTGGGTGTGCAAACGCTGGCACGTTGTTCCCAACAGTGCCTCATCAGGGTGTGGGGGCTGCCCGTGCAGAAGGCACATGGGCCCTGGTGCTTGTGGCTCCCTGAGTTGATTAGGATGGCCCAGGCCAAGGGCGGGCAGCTCCCTGGCAGCAGCAGCCCATCGGTGGCGTGTTGCTTCCACATTCTCCCAGAGTTCAGCTGTCCCATGAGAGCATGTGCTGGGCTGAGGCTGGCTGGAAATTGCCCCCACCCCCATTCGAGACTTAAGGCAGCAGCTCGAGTTATTGTTACAGAAGGGGCGGCTCTGCATTGTGCCAAAGAGAGCCTGATGCGTTAGACAAACATGCATTTCTGTTTTGGTTTTAGTATTCAGTTTTTCAAATGTGCAGATCTTGTCCTTACCAAATTGTATTTATTTCAGTTTGAATATGAATTAATGAAAACTTTTTTTTTGTAGGCATTTGTATTTCTTGCAACTGAAGATGGATATTTGTGAAGGAAGGTAATGAGAATTTTGAATTTTTCTTTCTGTGGGTTGCCAGACTAGCAAAATTTCCAGTTTTAATCAAATGAGCATGCATTCCTGGTAACAATATTAAATCTGCAAAGAATGGATGTTGAAGGCAGCATCCTGTACAACATTAGGCTTTGGACGTCTGTTTTTAACTCTGACTTGGTTTAGAGAGGCTAAGGATTGATAAAGTTCATTTCAGGGTATTTCCGTTTTATTACAAAAGGTGCTGTTATCTTTTTGGTAAAGATCTGAGAAATTTGAAAGGGAGGGTGGGACCCAGAATATAAAATGGGCTTCATTCAGGAACGCAGATCAGGCCTAATTTAGGTCAACTTCTGAGCCCCTTAGTACCTGGATAATTCATTTTCTCCCTGGGAAGCTTTTTGCTCAAAGACATGAGCATCTGCCTATGATTCAGCACTTCTTGTGTATCAGGACCATCTCAGTGGCTGAAAAGTATCTGAGAATAGCCCAGTAAGGGATAGGAAATTCCAAACCAGTGGTCCTTGAGCTACCTCCTCCAAACTCTTTGTTTTTTCAAAGGGAAGAAACTTCAGCAGGTAAACTGGTGGAAGCAGCCACAACGTATTCCCATTGTCTTGACCCCTCTTTGCTCCTGTCAGTTTAGTTCTAGTAAGGAGGCTAATTGGAGGCCTCCTGTCTGCTGTGCCATGAGGGAGTTTGCAGTCCAGTTGGGGAAATGAGACAGAAGCCCATGAAGTAATTAGGAAACAATTGAAAACAATATGGGCAGCAGAGACCACAGTTGTCACAAGATTTGAGAAGAAGGCGATGGTAGTGTGGGCTGGAACATTTGGAAAAGTCTTTGTAGAGTTGTGATGAGTCAGAATTGGGGTTAATAGAGAGGAGGGGAGGAGTTAGGATTCCCTGCTCAGTGAGAAGACATCTCCCCCGAGCCCCCTACTGTCCTAGTTGGAAACCCCATGTTGAGGGTTAGTGGTCATTTAGACTTGCAGGGGAATAGAGGGCTCCTCGTTACACTTACAGCTTGTGTCCTGTAGGCAGAGAGCTGTTGAAGGTTTTTAAGCAGGAGCGATGTGGCCAGAGCAGCGTCTACAAAGACAGTGTCAATGTCCAGAAGGGAAGACTGGAGATGGGGTGGCCCTTGAGGAGCTGTTGTGTACACCCAGCCCAGAGCTTGGGCGCGTGGCAGTGAGGTTGGGGGTGGGGGAACAGTTAGGAACAGGAGACATCTCGAAGAAAAGATCATCAGAACCTGTTGACTGTTCAGCAGTCAAAGAAATACAGAATTTTTGTAATTTAGCTCATCCTCTCTAAGTAGGAATGTGTCCCTTCTCTAGCGTTAACGGACCAGCCTTTGGGCCTCTGCTTGACCACTCCCAGTGATGGGGAGCTCACCCTCCAGAGGCAGCAGTATTACATTTTTAGGTAACTCTAGGTTGAAATGACCTTCCCTCTCTTGGGTCCAGGCTGCCCTCTGCAGCAAGAGAAACATAATTTTTTCCACAAATATTTTGCAATCATCTGTTATGAGATGGGTACTTTGCTGGTCAAATAAAGCATGGCCCCTGTCCTCTAAGAGCTTTTACTCTAGCTCTCCAGGTATTAGAAATTGGTCATTTTCATTTTTCTTTTCTCCGAATGAAATATCCCCTGTTCTTTCTGTGTGAATCAATAGAAATCTGTTGACGGCTGTGTCCAGGGTTAGATCCCTGGCATTCCTTGTTAGGTCTGCAGCTGACCCTCACCACTTCTGAGGAGAGGTTCACCCACTACCAGTTGCTTCTCAGGCATGTGTCTGGGTGGCGTCTGGCCATTTGTGGCTGTGGATCTCTTGACAGGGTTGAGCATAGTTAGCATCTTTCCTGGGTGTCTGGACTCATCCACTGACTGTTGGAATTGTAGCTCCTACCCAATGCATCATCTCCTTCCTGTCTGGACAGGCTCCAGAAGTAATCTAGTTCAAGGCCCTCACTTGACGGAAAAGAAACGGATCTGTCTAGGAACATGTAGCCTCTTTGTGGCCACGTTGAGAGTAGAACACAGGCCTTCAGTCTTTCTCAGTATGGCCACCTTCTAACAATATTCTCACCACCATTCCTTTGGAAGTGTTTACTTTCTGACATCCTCCTCATAGGATTGTTTCTTCCAGCTAGATGGGACCTCCTTAGCCTCTCTCCTAAGTTGTTCCCCCAGTCCCATTCACCTGCTTTCCTCTAGCAAAGACGGTAGCTTAGATTTAATTGGGGTCCATCTTGGTAGGAGATCGAATGGCTGATACTCTTGAAGTTTCTGCCTGCTTTCCCCATGGACACTGTGGGTCTCCACATGAACTGTAGGTGGTGAGTATCCCTGGGATGTGTCTGTAGACTTGGAGAGATCATTTAGAAGTTCTTGCTGGAACATAGTTATGTAAGGAAAGAGGAGGCCCCTAAGTTAGGGAAGTTTCCTTCATATGCAGCTTCAGGACCAGCACACAGAGCAGTGGACAGGAAAGGGAACCCCTGGCCAGCCCACCATGTTAGTCACAGAGGTGGAGTGACTCACATCTTAGGAACTTTATGGGCTGCCATGGAAACAGCTTGTGTTTTCCACTTCCCACCGGGTTGCAGGGAAGAATGCTTTTAAAAATATTAGTGCCTCCCAGTGTTAGCTGTTAATAATACCTGCTTTCTCAGACCCTTCCCCACCCACCCTGCAAGCCCTCACCCCTGCTGCTGCTTTTTTTTTTTTTTAATTTAAAAATAAAGTTTTAGGTTTAGAAAATTGAAAAAGACAAGCTTGAACATAGATGATAGTGGCATAAATTTTAGAATTTGGCTCCTACTTGAATTATAGTTTTCTTCTCAGTGCTAGATTGATAGTATTCATCAGATAATCAGAACATTGTATCATGGGGCAGTGAGAGGATGCTGTATTTTTATTTTTTTATTTTTTCCATACAAAAATTTATACATACATTGTTATGTGACCCTAATTGCTCTCCCCAAACTGTGACGGCACACTCCTCGTTTCCACCCCTGATTTCCCATGTCCATTCAACCAGCTCCTAACCCTCTCTGCCTTCCCATCTCACCTCCGGACAGAAGCTGCCTGTTTAGTCTCTTGTATCTGCTTGAGCTAAGAGGCCCCAGCTGCTTACGATCGGACTTTTACCACCACATTCCTCCATGGAGCAGTGATCCCTGCTCCAGGTCTATTGGCAGAGCTCCTGGGCAGACCAGGTAATGGATGGCCGAGTAGAGAAAAGGGAGCAATCAGAAGGATTTGAAATACGATAATACGAGGTGGAGTCACTGGCAGAAATGGGATTTAGAAGGACTGTAAGTTCAAGAGGAAAGAAAGAGAACAAGTCCAACCTTGAGTCCTTTGATTTCTAGTGGATGGCAGGAAAACAGAAAAGTAGACAGACCGTTGAACTCATTAGTGTCAGTAGAACCCAGGAATTTACTTAGCCCTACAAAAAAGTCTCATGTCTTTACTGGAAAGAGATGAAGGTTGTTCGCTGACGTTAGAGTACACTTATCTCACTTTTCTTCATAGTGATATGTGCTTGACCTTTCTTGAACAGGCAAAACTCTCGCCAACATTAGACCTTTAGCTTCATGGGTATTTGTAATAAAATACAGTATTTTAAACACGAAAAGGTTTTCTTTTTGTTCTTAAAAGCCTTTAGCGTGTTACATTTGTCTTTGCTATTTGAAATTGATTTGTGTCATAAAATTGACTTTGTTATGATTCATGTTTGTTTTTTTTTTTAATGGTTAATCCAAGAAAATAAAGACATCTGTTACCCATGATCTGTGAGTGTTTCAGGCTATTGCTGTTTCTTGTGACTTTCCTAATATGTTTTTCTCCTAACAGGTTAATTTGCCCTCTTAACTCAGCAGTGGTCCTAGCATCCTATGCAGTACAATGTAAGTCATGAAGGGAAGTGTTTCACGATGGACAGATTGTTCTGACCAATGTATTAAGAAAGTCACTGTCTTCTCCTGTTTGACCGAGTCCTTTCACCTCTTCCCCGTGAATCCTGTTGGGCATCAAGTCCTACTTTTACCCTGACTTACGTTCTCCTCTAGGTCAGGGGCCTGTTGGATTAAGTAACGTGGTTAAGGGCAAAGGAGTGGATGAGCTGTGGTGGTATTTTCTCCCAGGGGAGCCCATGAGACAGCAAACACATACCACACATTACATTTTCCAGAGCCTTTGCTCAGATTATTGGATTTAATCTCTGTAAGAACCACAAGGGGGCAAATGTTTCTACTAGTCACCTCTTATACACATGGAAATTGAGGGCCAGCTAGGTTAAGGATTTGTTGAACGTCACTCCTGCTACTTGCTTTATGCCACTCTAAAACACTGTTGGAGTCTTAAGAATTTATTTTTAGAGTTTCATTATAGCTAATTGATTATAAACTGGTGTGTAGCAGCACTGCCCAATAGGAATATGATGCGAGCCACATATATAATTTGAAGTTGTCTAGTAGCCACATTAAAAAAATAAAAAGAAGGGAAAATAATTTTTAAAATTTTATTTAACCCAGTATATCCAAAATATTATCATTTTAACTTGTAGTCAGTGTAAAAATTATTAACAAGGTATTTTATATTCTTTTTTTTTCCCCAATATGAAGCCTCTGAAAACCAGTCTGGATTTTACACTTACAGCACATCTCAGTTTGGACTAGCCACATTTCAAGTGTTCAGTAGCCACATGTGGCTAGTGGTTACCATATGGGATAGAACGTCCAGATGGAATTTTCCATCAAGGCCATTGAAGCTGGAGTAGATATTCACTCATTAGTTAGCAAAGCTTTATTGAGCACATATTTCATTTAAGGCCCCGTGGTAGATGCTGGGTGTACAAAATGAAAAGGGTACATGGTTACGTGTGAAGTATCAGTTAATAGTTAGCTGTGTGGTACCAAAACGGTACACCAACATAGTACTTGTGTAGAGCTGCATAGTAACAAGACTTAAGAAGGCCCTTCTACCTTCCATTAAGCCTGAAACTATCTTGGCCTATTACCCTCTTGACCAACTGCATGGTAGGGAGTTAAGGGAGCAAGATAGTCAAGTCTTAGAGCAAGTGCTGACTGAACTACTCACCCTACTCTGGGTCCTGCATAACCTTGAGCCTTTCCAGGCTTCAACTTCTTTACCTGTAAAGTGGGGATAATAGCAGTATCTACTTCATAGTGTTGTAGTGAAAATGAAATGAGGTAATATACATAAAGCTCTTAGAACAGTGCCTGACTTGTGGCAAGTGTTCACTGTTAGTGTATTTTCACATCTGCCCAGAAGATCATCTGAAGAACTGCTTATTGTAAATAATAGACTCTGTTCAGAGTAAAATTTAAGAACCAAATGAAAAATCCTATTCCAAGGTTCACTAGTCAGGTTCACCTCTGCAAAGTACTGATAGAACCAAGGCTAAAGAAAGTTGTTAAGTACCTAAAAAGTGAAACTGACTTCAGTGGAAATATAGCATGATGGTCATGCCAATAAAATAATGAGTTGTCCTGCAAGCTGTTTTAAGCATAAATTCTTTGTTCCTACACCCTCAGTTAATATATACAGTCAGCCGTCTATATCTGCAGGTTCCACATCTGAGGATTCAACCAATCTCAGATCAAAAATATTCAGGGAAAAAAAAGACTTTTTTCTTATCATTATTCCCTAAATGATATAGTGTAACAACTATTTACACTGCATTTACATTGTATTAGGCATTATAAGTAACCTAGAGATGATTTAAAGTATATGCATAGGTTATAGGCAAATACTACACCATATTATAAAAAGGACTTGAGCATCCTAGAATTTTGGTATCCACGGAGGGTCCTGGAACCAGTCCTCCGCGTATACCAAGGGATATATATGCTAGAAGAACACGTGGAACTTGAAAGACAAAATATATTTATTGCGTTCTTCTGTGCATGCATTTCTAGAAGATTAATTTTTAGACAGGAAATTGCTGGGTAAAAGGGTATGCCTAAATTTTATCTGATACTTTTTGATAAATTGTCCCAAGAGAGATGTCTAATACGAAGATAAATTCTACCAGTAATCAGTGCACAAAAAAGTACATTTTCTCATTAGATAAAAAATAAAGTGACCCATAGGTAAAATACCTGAAAAGACAAGACATGAAGGTGGGAGATTGCTGGTGGCCTGTCAACGATTTATGAGGCTCAAACAATAAAGTGTTTGAAAGTCTATGTTTATCCCATAAATGTTCTCTGAGCCTCTGCTGTGTGCAGGCACTGCAGGAGCCTCCGGGCGCACAGATGGATGAAGCAGACTGCTCTCCTTAAGGAGTCTACAGCCCAGGAGGGAGGGAGGCAGGCAGGTGTGGAGCAGCCCATAGTGGTAGCAGTGTGGATGAACACAGAGGATGCCATTCCATTCTGCTTGGGTGAGAGGGGAGGAAGTCCAGAAAAGCTTCCTAGGGATGACCCCTGAGAAGAGCCTCTAAGAACCAGTTGCAGTTGGGTGAACAACAGGTAAAAGGCTTTCCCAGCAGAACAGCCTGACAGCTTAAAATGCCACACATTTGGAGACCTGGGACATACTCTCTCTTTGCTGCAAAACATAAAAGATTATCAGCTAGTAAGAATGCATGGAATGTAAAAGACAAGATATTCCCCACATAAGCACTAATTTCCTTTTATTCCTGCTGTAATTAGCTTTTGCATGTGTCATCTGCCCCACAAATAGGAAAACTGTTTAAGTCAGGGTGTTTGGGGCAAGTGGCATAGCAAACAAGAGTATGGGCTCTGGGATCAGAATCTTGGCTCCAAATTACCATCAGAGCAACAATGGGCAGGTCCCTTCTTTGAGTCTCAATTATCTTATCTGTTTAATGGGAATACAAGCAATGCCTATCACTGGGTTATAATAAGTATCAAATGGGATGATGTAATTGAGCCTATGTGGAAACCACCCCCTGCTTTGCAAATGTTTTGTATGACTTTAACTTTGTTTCCCTCTAGTGGTTAGTACAAGGCTTTGCACAGAGTTGCTGAGGGCTCGTACAGAAAAAAAATCCTACGGGGAGGTTCATCGGTTGTACGTTAAGTTCAAAACATTTGTTTATGACGTGACTAAAGAGAGAACCTTGCAGTTCGAGTTTGCAGAATGGCACAGGTGTTGGGGCTCTTAGCTGATATGGTGAATGACCAAATCAAGATCCAGAAGGATCTTCACGAGCTAATGAAACCAACAGAGTAAAATTTAAGAGGACTCTGCCTTGAGGCTCAGGAAAGTCACTTGCAGCATTTGTTTGCCCTTTGGGACATGACCATTGTCATCAGCAACTGGCCAACAGCAGCTCGAAGGCCCCTTCCTGGCAGTCAGGCTGGTGGAGTGGGAGGAGCACCAGCTGGGACTCTGGTCTGGACTCTGCTAAAAAAATGCCTCTGTGATAGGGGTAAGTCCCTTCTCCTCCCTGGAACTCAGTTTCTTCCCCTTTAAAATGAGGGGTTTGAACTAGGTGACTCTGAGTCTTTCTCGAGCTTTCTTTGCTGAGGATCCTGTGTTAGGGCATCCAGATGATTTCTATAAATGCACCATAAGGAGCTCTGGTGTCAGAATGGTTAAGCTGCTAACCGTCAGTGGTTCAGACTCACCCAATGGCTTCGCGGGAGAAAGGACCGAACAATCTGCTCCCATAAGGATTTCAGCCTAAGAAACCCAATGGGGCAGTTCTCCTCTGTCATATAGTATTGCTATGAGTCGGAATTGACTCAGCACACAACAACAGCAAATGCACTATTGTGCATTTAACCATATATACACTCACCTGCCACACTGTGCCCACATCATATAACCTTGACATTTCCTTCTGTGGCTTGGCCACCTTTGGCTGGCCATCATGGCCTCTAGTCTAACCTTGACCAGGCCTGCCTAGATACTTGACTTCCTGCCCTTCCCCAACCCTCCCTCCAGAACTGACCCATGAGTCCCCTGTGGCATCTGGTCCCCTGTCTTCCACACCTCCCTGAATCCCAGATGGTGGGTCAGGATGCCCACAGTAGTAATGTCGATATGAGCTCTCTTCTGCCCACATCCATTTTTTAGAGCAGGTGGATCCAATGTTGCAGTATCCTTGGTTTCTACAAGGTGAGTTCTTTGAGAGCAGGAACTGTATGCCAGGCACGTGCAGCCTCAATAAAGAGAGAGCTTACATGGCGCCTGGCATACAGAGGGTGGCATTTTTCCGGTGGGTCTTCTTATTTCCTTTTATCTTGGGAGCATGAGCACAAACTGCTGTACTAACCACAGAGTGTGGAAGAGGTGTGAGACGAGTAAGACCAAGTTTCAAACACCATTTCCCCTTTTCCTCCCTGTGTGGCCTTGGGCAAGGTGAAAATTAGGTTGGACCATGTGTGTGAAAGTACCTATCCCATGGTAAGGGTTCAGAGAGTAAATGTAGAACCTGGAGTTAATGAGAAGCTCCAGTTCATGTGATGTAGAACTTGCAGGAAGGGTGTTTTCAATTGATGTTTTTCTTGTGGTGCTTTTGATGCTTCTTAATATAGACCATGCTGAAAAGGCAAACCTAATTATGATCCCACCCCCTATTCTGTCTTAATAGCTCATTTTGGAGACTATAATTCTTCCATACATCATTCAGGATACCTTTCTGATAGTCAGTTTATACCATACCAGAACGGTGACTTTTTAACAAAGGTGGAATCTCTCCATGAGCAGCACAGGTAAGGGGAGGGCCTCGGAGTGGCCTACTTTGGGAACCTAGGTTGGGTATTTATAGACATTGTACAACCTTGTGTTTGATGCGACCTCCTCTTCCTTTGCTCATGAATCCTCTTTCAGGATGCTAGGGGTTTTTAAAGCTTTGAACTGTTCTGATGACAGATATAGCTGGCCTACCTAGCATTTCTGTAGAGCGTAGAGTACAGTAGGAGTTAAGGGTGATGGTTGCTGTATTCCATCTTAGAATGTCATTGAAATCAGTTAATTTCTAAATGAAGTGGCCTATTTTGAAATCCAGTTGCACCACACATTGGCCCTACTTTTTAAACCCTTTAGCAGTTCGCCATATTTAATAAAATGGGCTATTTTTAGGTAATGTTGAATAGAGAGACAAAGCCAAAAAACCCATTGCAGTCAAATCAGTTCCAGTCATGGTGACTCCATGTGTTACAGAGTAGAGCTGCTCCACAGAGAGACCTAAAATGCTGACAGGCAGGGTGAGTTCCAAGCCCTCTCTGGGTTCAGTTAGTGAAAATTGCCTTAATTCCTCTTAGGTAGCACCACTCTTCAGCACATGCCTTGGGTAAGCCTCAACTCCCAACAGATATGCCCAGTTCTGGCCTCCTCCCTTTCTTTCCTCATTTTCCTGAACTGTAGGGGCAGCTGTTCAGTGTAGGTTAAATAACGGCCAGCCGACCGAGACGATCAGCTCTCAAGGGACTTCACGCTTCTTGGGGAGGCCATAAAAAACAAAGCAACCAGTGTCCCTTCTAAAAAGACGCTGCCAAGCCTTTCTCCCAGAATTTTACTTCTCTGGCAGATGTCGGCATCCTAAAATACTCCTGGGCCAGTGACATTTGGAAGTTTGAGACCACTGCTAAAAGAATAAGAGTAGAAAGAACTAAAGATTGTGCATTCATTAAGCAAGTTGGAATAAAAGGGGTGGGAATTCTGAAAGATGACAGCTTTCTGTAACTGAATGTTGAGAGCCCACTAAATGGAAGTATTGTTTAGAAAAGAAATGAGAGGGCTCAATGAAGTCAAATTCAGTGGGCAAGGAGAAAAATCTGGTTTAGTAAAATTGAGGGTTTGATGGTTTTTTTAAGATTAATAACACAAGGCATTTAATAATTCTAAAGAAATGTTATAAATTTTCTAAATTTTTACTGTTTTTAAAAATTAAGAGTTTGATTTGCTCTTTTCACTGGGTGTACTCTGTATTTTCTCTTCTCTTTTATAGCGGTCTAAAGCAGTCAGAAGCAGAATCTTGCTATATCAACATAGCGAGGACCCTGGACTTCTACGGAGTGGAACTGCACAGTGGAAGGGTAGGTAATGCTTGTTGAGTTTGGGTTCAGAATTTCTATTTCGGCTTTAATTTCTGAAAGTTTGAAAACGTTCTTTGATGAAACGATTTCTTTTCTAGTGTAACAAACAAAACCCTTTTTAGATGTGTGGAAGGTTTTATGAAGTAATGCTGAAGTTTGCTGGTTACTCTATTGCTTTTTCCATGTTTGCGTTGGTATGCGAAGGCTTCTTCCTTTTGTGGGGCGTCAGGGGGACTAAACAGAAGTAATTTTTGTGAGACTGTCTTCATATTATGGTTGAAGGGGCAAAAAAAAAAGTTTATAAACCCATTTTCCAAGTGACAATTTAATGAGCCAAGAGATTCTCCTACTTAATTTCAAGTTCTGCTCAACTTACAGCTAGTTACCTGAATATGATAATTTTTTAAAATTATTATGGTGGTGGTATTATTGTGAGGAGGAAGCTAGAAGGCTGCACACTAGCTCTTAAATGCTTCAGCCCAGAAGAGACACACATCACTTCTGCTCATAGCACATTGGCCGGAATGAGTCACATGGCCCTGCCTTCTGCAGATGGGGCTGGGAAATGTGGAGGTGGGCATGGAAATTTAGTGAGCAGTAACTGTCTCTGCTGCAGGGTTGAGGTGCGGACTGAAGACTACAAATCCAGATGCTTTGAGACCTGAGTCTCCAGCCACCCAAATCATTCACTTATTTCCCTAAGTTATACACTAAATTTTGGTATCATATGTCTGTTTGTCCTTCTCTCCCACCTACTTAATATTGTTTAATTGCAACCCTGCTCTTTGTCATGCGAGTTTGATTTTGCTTTAAATATGTGATTTCAGTTGAATACTCAGTAGTGAATACTCTCTGGACTTCTCACTTTCATCAGCACTGTTTTCTTCGGCCCCTTTCTCTAACTCCTCATGTTTACATTGCTGTTCTTAAATGATTTGTCCCACTATCTCTTGAGAGAGAAAGGGAATGAACATTTACAGTGAAACCTGTGAGTGCCGGAACTCGACGGGACTGCCTCATTTTTCTGGGTCTCGCAAGTTTTCCGCCTTTGACAGGATGCAGTCTTACTACTTTTCTATCACTGTCTGTTAGTGGAAACTATTTGAGTTTCCTTCTCTGACAGGTTTCTGCCTTACACAGGTTCTGGCTTTTGCAGGTTTTACTGTGTTATACACTTACCACATGCCAAGCCCTATTGTAGGTACTTTATTTCTCTCATTTTAGCCTGATGAAAACCTTATGAGGTGGGTTCTCTAATCTTTATTGTACAAAAGGAAAAATTGAGGCTCAGATCCCAAAATAACACAGCTAGAAGTGGCAGGCCTAAGGTTCACCCACAGTTTTAACTGACTCAAACCGTGCCCCTTCTGTATAATTTCAAACATCTCACGTGGGAAATAGGAATGCAAATAACCCAGTACAGGAACTGTTATGTTTTAAAAATTTCTTTTTTTATACTCACCTTGTTCTCAAAAGGATTTCAAACAGCTCATAGGTGCTTTATCTTTCTCCTGTATCTTCAGTGTCTGGGGCAACGCCTAGCACGTAGGCTCTTGATAAGCCTTGAATGTTTTTAACTTGTCTATACCAGCCTCAAAATGGAGTTACTTGTGCTGAGCCCCATGTCAACAAACCGAAACCTAAGTTTCTATTTTGTGTAAATACCTAACCTTCCCAGAAGCCAAAATCCAGTTCAATCAGTTGACTCTCCCAGGAATGAAAGCATAAGCTAGCCAATCAGGACTTGATTGATCTGTTTAACCTGGTTCAAAATTTCCTCCTAATCCCATCCTCGTTGTCAAAACTGTTAAAATAAAATTTTCACAATATTAAATTTGTGTATGAGCTCATAAGCTTTATTTTTTCAGTTCATGAACAAGGTAAGTCTTGTCTGACTTCCAGACCAGACGCTCCCTGGCTCATGAACTGAAAAATGAAGCTCTTGAGTTCATACACAAATTTAATATTGTGGAAATTTTATTTTTAAGAATGTATTGGATTGACAAGCAATATTACTTCTTAGTTGGATTTACAGTCAGCATTTCTACACTGCTAAATTTTCGTCATCCTATCATAATAGCTAAAGACTTTTCAGTGCTGGGAATCTAGATGTGTATAAGGCTGGGAGGTAGGGAGAGGCCTTTGTGATTTTAATATGGTTATTTAATATTAATTGTTGAAATTGAATACTCCTTTAAATGATTCTGTGAAATGAATGGGCTTATCTGGTAACTTTCTAAACCAGTGGGATCCAGGGGTTGCTGTCAGGCTGTGTGTGTTCACCCTAGAACAATTCGTTGCTAAGTACTTGGATCTTAAGTATCTGTGAAGCAGGGATTTCTGCATGTTTTCAGTAACATTTTCCCCTTTAAAGCTTATACATATTACTGTTTATAAAAGCATGGGTGCTTGAAAGCTGCCAGAGTGCATAAGCATACTGTACTGGCTGTGAATCTATGCTCTTCCTCTTCACAGGACCTGCACAATTTAGATCTGATGATTGGAATTGCTTCTGCGGGCATCGCTTTGTACCGAAAATATATTTGCACAAGTTTCTATCCTTGGTAAGTGCAAACCAGTTCTAATTACTTTCTGAATCATGCTTTAAAAATATGCTGAACAAACGTAATGTTAGCTCTGATTTTAAACTTTTCTTTCTAAAGCAGTTGGAAGGGATTTTTCCCCCCAGGTTTTTACCTCTGCCCTCTGATTTGATCCAGATTGGGTATTTGAGAAAATTATAGTATGGTTTTCATTGACATCCTTTTGCCCCCAGTCACCTGGTGGTTTGGGATACTCTGTGGAGACATGGTGGATAAAAGGGCACAAGGCAGGTCTTGGAGCTAAGGAATCCTCCCTGGGCCATGCACTGGCCAGAAGTCAGAGAAGAGCTTCCTCAGGGCAGGGCCTGTATTCTCAGTTCTGTTCCTCTGTCATCAATTGAACTGTTACCAAGTCCAGCTCCGTTCTAAATGCTAAGAGGACCCAAAAGACATGTGCAGCAGAGTTTGCCCTGTAAGCTCGTGAGCCTGGTGGGGAGAGAGAATTTCTGTATTCTCACAGTGTAAGACACAAATATCAGGTGAACTCAGTGAGTAGAACTGACTTTTAAGAGAGAAGTTGGAGTTTAATGTGTCAGGCAGTAGGGATCTTCCTTCTAGGGGAAACAATATAAGATAAATACCATCTTAAAAAAAAAATGAAAGAGAAGAAAAAATACCATGTTTATAAATGTTAATGTAATGATGTACAGAATGCAGATTTGCCAGGTGACTCAAGGAGAGTGGTCACTGTGGGCAATAGGAGATGCAGAAGCAAAAGTCTGGAATGTAAAAGAACACAGGGTTTTGGCAAAATAGTGACTGCAAGGAAGATGTTTAGGAGGAAGGGATAAGAGAATATTTGGAGACAGATCAACTGTCACACAGTTTGGTCCTTGGCATTTAAATTTACTCCATCATCTTTGCAACATAGAACTTTTATTACCTGGGACACAAAGATGTTCATCACAGCATTATTTATAACAACAACAAGAATAAAAACCCTATAAGTAAATTAAGTAAAATTATAGAGGAAATAGTAATATTTGTTGAATGCTTATTACTGTGTTGAAGTCACTTTACTAAGTATTTACTGACGATTAAGCGTTTACTTAAACCTGAGATAGTCACTGTTGTTATCTTCATTTTCACAAAGGAGGAAACAGAGGCACAAAGAGTAATAACTTGTCCAGGGTCACACAGCTAATGATTGGTCTAGTTGAAATTCCAACCCAAATAGTCTGGCCCCAGAGCCTGTACTTTTATTCCACCATTAAAAATTACATTCGTGGGAAAATGCTTAATAGGAATGCACTTGTAGAAGCTGAGTTTTCAATTAACTTTACAATATATCTGTTTTCAAAAACAAAAACAAAAAAATTGTATTAATTCTATTCAATTTCACAGTAAAACCAGTGTGGCAGGTAAAGGGTCTTCTTGCCATCTTTCTTTCCCTTCGACTCTGTTAAAAGGCTTATTGTAGCAGGAAACCCCAGCCTTGGCTCACCTCAGTGACCCCTCGGTTAACTAGGATGTGGCTTGGGCAGCTCTCCAGCCTGCTTAGGACCTGGGTCAGGCCAAGCAGGGGGCCGAGTGGGGAAAGGGCACAGGACTCATTTCCCCTCACCAAGCCTTTCCACATGCCAAGGGCTTCTCCCAGAATACCACAGGCCTGAATCCCCGGGGCCCAGCTCTCTCTAGCACTGGCACGTTTCGGGAGGGTGTGAGTCCCATGAAGACACTTCAGGAGGAGTCTTAGTTTCCTAATGCTGCTATAACACAAATACCACAAGTAGGTAGCTTTAAAGAACAGAGATTTATTATCTCACAGTTTTGGAGGCTAGAAGTCCGAATCAGGGCATTGGCTCTTAAGGAGGGTCCTTCCTTGTCAGTGGCCCCAAGAGTTCTTCCGCATTCTTTGGTATTTTCATTTCCTCTGTGTGTGTGTGTCTATCTGTTCTGCTCTTTTCATAAGACACCATTTAGAAGTGATTAGGTTTAGAACCTACCCTACTCCTGTATGACCTCATTAATATTTCCAAACAGTCGTATTTACAGGCAGAGAGTTGAGGACTCAACATATATTTTGGAGGCTCTAATAGAGCCTGCAGAGACTTTATAACCCCTCCAGCCCCTAGGCTTACACATAGACCCCCCCCCCCCACCAAGTCACCCTTGCCCTTCAAAATCAAGACCTGGCCTCTGCCTCTGGTACAGAGCTCACAGACTAGCAAGGAGGCAGATGGCAGCAGATGGTGACCCAAGGACCATAAGTATGATGTAAACGGGCACATCCCAGAGAAGGGCAGCACCAAGGAAGGGCCCCAAGCCCACAGAGGTGGAGGTGAGTTCTAAGCTTTATCTGAAGACCCACTGGGCTTTAGCCCCAGGGAATAAATTCTAGACAGAATGAGCAGCATGTGTGGAGGTCAGGAGACAAGAGAGAAGACAGCATAATGAGTAAAGGAAAGGTGAGTGGGTCTGGCTGGAGCATGGTGTGGGAGTGGCGAGTGGCAGGAGCTTGAGGACTGTTGGAGCATAGATTTAATCCTTGGGACTCTTAAGAGACACTGAACTTTCCTGCATGATATGATCACAATTATAGTGATTTAGTTATATCTCTGATTATTTATTTGGGACCTGTTCCCTCACTAGATTATGAGCTTCAAAATGGCAGTGACTGATTGTCTTATTCACGCTGTGTCCCCAAGGCCTGGCACATCACTTTTACTTTCTAGACACTCAGTACATTTTTTGCCTTAAAGAATGAGTGAAGGGCAGTAGGGAACTACTGTAGGACCTTAAACCAGGAAACGACATAGATCTTGTCTGCACTTAATCAGGTTTGCTCAAGGAGAGAGCACTGTCAAATACAGAGATTGGGGTCAGTGTGGGAAGGAGGGAGCACTGAACTGGAACACTGAACTGCAGGAGGTCCAGCAGAGGCCCCCCTGTATGTGAAGCTGGTGGGGCAAGGGGTGCACAGATCCCATAGGCCCTGCAAGACAGGATGAGATCTCAAAAGCTGGGTTGAGAACAGGAATGCCTGCATCTGTCCTTTGGCTCAGGGAAGTGGCAAGGAGACACCGTGACTTTCTCCCACAGTCTGTTGTTTTACCCAAAGACCCTGCTAACTGTGACCCAAGTCACAAGAACAGGCCAGCATATTCTGCATCTCCCCGCAAGGCACTGTGTAACATCCACTAGAGAGAGTACCTAAGGGCCAAACACCCTTTTGGTCCTTCAGATTATTAACTTTCAGTCACCCATAAAATTCACTTGTCAAATAATGCATCTGTCAATGCATTGTTTAATTTAAATGTTATGATGAATCATAGCTCATTTAATATTTAATATAGGTATGTTACTGATTTAACGGGGGAAATATTACGTGAGTAGTTAAACTTTTATTTTACCTACCCAGACCCTCTGTTCTGGAATGCTCTACCAGGGTTTTCATATGATTCTAGAGAATGGTAGAATTCCTTCATTTCCTCAAAGTATTTCAGAAGTAAAGACTCCAGTGTGGAAATGTGCCTCCCTTGTATAGGCTACAGTAGTTTGACATGATGAATTAAATGGATTACAGTAGTTTGACATAATGAAGTAGATGAATTAATTTAAATTGTTAACCCTTAAATCAATTTTAATTATAGGAAATGAACATTGAGGGCCTACCATCTGTCAAGCACCATACTAGGGGCTTTCCATGCCTAATCCACTTGAATCTTCACTAGACAACTTACGAGAAAGGCAGTGTTATCCCTGCTGTCTGGACAACTTGTTAAGAACACAGGCTTTGCAGTCAGGCAAGACCCGAGCTCAGATCCTGACTCCAGGGATTCCTAGCTGAATGATCTTGGGCACTTAGGGAGTTATCTCTGAGCCTCAGTGTCATCATCTGAAAATTGGATATTATGTTACATACTTTTCAGGATTGTTGCAAGGCTTAATTGAGGGGATGCTTGTAAAGCTCTCAGTAGGGGGCCTGGTCTGTAACAAGTGATCAGTTAATGGTGGCTATTATTCAGTTATGCAAATTTAGGTTACTTGGCACACGGCTATTAAGTAATGGAGCTGGAATGGGGACCCAGGTCTGTCCAGCTACTCTGTCCACTTCCTGATGCACCACACTGCTGTCAGCTGTCTGTCCAGGTTCATACCAGCTCATGCAACACTCCAGCATCACAAAAGAAGCTTACAGCAAACAGAGTGTATGGCTCATGTTTCTTGCTGTTTAAAAGCTAAATCATAATCCACTGGCCCTTAAGTGATGCTGAGCTTCATTCAGCTACTTGATGTTTGGCTGAGGCAATGGGCCGCCCCGCCTATCATTCCTACACTGAAAGTCAACTCTAGGAAACTGTGAGTCCCCAGTCATCATGATTATGGAATACAGGCCACAGCTCCAACCTGGCTGATCACTGATGTGCTTTGTGTTTTGCTGTGTTTTTTAATAGGGCGAACATTCTAAAAATTTCTTTCAAAAGGAAAAAGTTCTTTATACATCAACGACAAAAACAGGTGAGTTATGTCTACAATTGCTTTGTTTTTTGTGTTTTTAGTCACCTCAGCTCTTAGTTCTTTAGGGGTTGAAGGGGTAGCAGGGAAGGAGTCCCTGGGTGGTACAAATAGTTAACACATTTGGCTGCTAACTAAAAGGTAGGATGTTCTAGTCCAACCAGAGGCTCCTTGGAAGAAAGACCTGGCAGTCTGCTTCTCAGAAATGAGCCATTGAAACCCTGTGGATCACAGTTCTACTCTGACACACGAGGGGTCGCCATGAGTTGGAGTGACTCGACAGCAGCTGGTTAACATGGCACAGTAGAAAGAAAATGGACTTTGGAGTCTGGAGTTCTCTAGATAATTCATTTTCCTTATCTGATTGGAAAATTAACTGGTTTGGAGTCAGAGACAGTGGGTTCAGAACCCAAGTCTTCTGCTTACCAGCTGAGCAAGTTACTTAACCTCACCTAGCCCAAGTTACCTCATTTACAAAAATGCAGTAATGCCCATTTCTCAGGGAATCATGAGGATTAAATAAAATAGCATTAGTCAAAGCACCTGGCCGAGAGACCTGCCACGGAGTAGCAATAAATGTCAGCAAGAGCAGTGCCTTTCCTCGTTATGTTTAAAATGCACATGGCCTTGGGTATGTGTTTCATAAGAGGAGTCCAGCCTCTCTAGGTAGCTCAGTTTGGTTATCTACATGGAAAAGTCAGAGTGAGATGTGAGGACACTAGGGCTCCTGCAGCTAGTAAGTGGGGGAGCCAGAATCGGAGCCCAAGTCTTTATGAATCCAAGACTCCTGCTCTTCCCACTCCATCACACTCCGTCTTGGTATGGTGCTTATTTTTCGCTTACTGTCACTATGTCCATTTCCCAGTTTTTCAAAGATAATATTACTGAAAATGACTCAACGTAGAAATGAACTCTTAGAAATGAGAACACTAAAGCTGAGAGCAAACTAGGATTAGAATCTGGTTCTCCCGATATCCAGTGTAAGATTTGAGGTGGGACAGAAATGCACAAGATGGTAATTTAACATGAAAACAGAAAACCTCAACTCAGGTAGGATGAAGGCAAAGCAAATAATTAAAGTGATTATTAGATATGAACACTGAATTTAACTCTGTGCTTTGTGGAAGGCAAATAGAGAAATTCAAAGGATTATAAAATCCCTATTGTCTGATAGGAGAAAGATCAGTTCTTCAAGAGAGAAATTTCCCTGGAGCTAAATTTTAAAAAGAATGTGGTAGGCCCTTACCTGGTTGTTCCATATACATTCAACCTAGAAATGTAAGCAAACTTGAAATGAAAATGTTTGTGAAGGACCACAGATGACAATAAAGAATAGATACTGGTTATCATTATTCTCACACTCATAGTGATGGTTAAGGGAGCCCTGATGTCGCAGCGGTTAAGCGCCTTGCTATCCAAAAGGTTGGCGGTTCAATCTGCAGGAGAAAGACCTGGCCTCTGCTTCCGTGAAGATTACATCCATGAAAACCCTATGGGGAGGTTCTACTCTGTCACATGGGGCTGCTATGAGTCACAATTGACTCGACAGCACCCAACAACAACAATGATGGTTAACAAATCCTGCTCTTAAATTTTCTTAAAAAGCTGATTTGTAGCCTAAGATATTTTGAAGCCAGTTTTTTGTTTGTTGCATCTTACCTGTTCATCACCACTATGGGCATAAAATGCTAGTGAGGCCTTCCTCCTACACCTGTACAGATAAAATCACTGCTGTGTTTTCCTTCCCAGACTGAATCCAGGGAACATATTGTGGCCTTCAACATGTTAAATTACCGATCTTGCAAAAACTTATGGAAATCCTGCGTCGAGCACCATACGTTCTTTCAGGCAAAGAAGCTACTACCTCAGGAAAAGAATGTTCTTTCTCAGTACTGGACTCTGGGCTCTAGGAACCCTAAAAAGTGAGTATGCTTTAGGGGCATTATCAACAGTAGTGTGAGATATGGACAGAGGAGAGAGAGAGCTGCAACTGCCCTACACTACGTCACAGTCAAGGAAGTACATGGCGACGACTCTGAGAATCATCACATGCCAAGCAAATTGGGCTTTCCAGGCTAATGCCACTAAGCCAGCCTTTCCCAAAGTGTGTTTCCAGGACATTAATTCCATAAGATGCTCCACAAAAATGAATGAATGAATTAATGAGTGGAAATAAAGATCTCTAGAGTCATATGATAAGCCCTGGTGGCACAATGGTTAAGTGCTCGGCTGCTAACCAAAAGGTTGTTGCTTCAAACCTACCCAGTGGCTCCATGGAGAAAGACCTTGAGATCTGCTTCCATAAAGGTTGAAAAACCAGACCCACTGCCATCGAGTCAATTCTGACTCATAGTGACCCCACAGGCCTTCTGCCAAGGCTGTAAATCTCTACGGAAGCAGACTGCCACATCTTTCTTCCTCGGAGCCACTGGTGGTTTCGAACCTACTACCCTTCGGTTAGCAGTCGATCGCTTTAGCCACTTCACCACCAGGGCTCCTTCCATAAAGATTACAGCCTAGAAAACCATATGGGGCAGTTCTGCTCTGTCACGTAGGGTCGCTATGGGTCAAAATCGACTCGACAGCAAACAACAACAACAGAGTCAAATGACTTTGGGATGTATTGCATATCACAATTATAAAATAATCATAATAATCATAGCAGACAATCTGAATGTTTATTTTGTGCCAGGCACACTCTTAATTACATTTAATTCCTACAACAGTCCTTATAATGATACTACAAGGATAATATTCAAAATATTTAATGACTAGTACAGTAAGAAAAATTAATATATAAATTTTTAAGTTTTATTTAAATTAAAATTTATTCTCTACATAAACCATATAGTTTATATTTTGGTTTATTTGTTTATTATAAGATTACCTTCTAAGTTACATAAGATGTAGCAGAAATTGTTTACCAAATTATTATTATAATTTCTAAATCATTTATTAGTTTCTTAAAAATTGCTTTTGTGGGTTTTTTTTTGGTGAATGTGGCTGTTGTAGCTGATGTGATTGATGTGGCTGTTAATAACTAAATGATGCCGCTGTCTGAGCCACTGTTTGATATGTGGCACTGCATCAGACTATTCAAATGACTTTCCTATTAAGTTGATAATCATCATGTAAGATATAGATTCAGTAAGAGCAAATTTTTATTAATATCAGTGATAATATTTATGGTGCTAGATACTCTCAGCTTCTGCCGAACCAAGAGCAAATATATTTTAAAAGTTTTTAGCTTTTATACTACTGTCTAGTATCTTTCTACTAGGCAGTAGTATAAGAGACAGGAAAAGAAAAGACCAAAATGGATGTCAGAAGAGACTCTGCAACTTGCTGTTGAACGTAGAGTAGCTAAAGAGAATGGAAGAAATGATGAAGTAAAAGAGCTGAATAGAAGATTTCAAAGGGCAGCTCAGGAAGTCAGAGTAAAGTATTATAATGAAATGTACAAAGACCTAGAGTTAGAAAACCAAAACGGAAGGGCACGTTTGGCATTTCTGAAGCTGCAAGAACTAAAGGAAAAATTCAAGCCATGAGTTGCAATATGGAAGAATTCTATGGGCAAAATACTGAACAGCGTATCAAAAGAAGCATCAAAAGAAGATAGAAGGAATACACAGAATCACTGTCCCGAAAAGAATTGGTCGATGTTCAACCATTTCAGGAGGTAGCATATGATCAAGAGCCAATGGTACTGGTAAACAAGTCCCAGCTGCATTGAAGGCATTGGCGAAAAACAAGGCTTCAGGAATTGACAGAATACCATTTGAGATGTTTCAACAAACGGATGCAACACGGGAAGCTCTCACTTGTCTATGCCAAGAAATTTGGAAGACAGCTACCTGGCCAACTGACTGGAAGCGATCCATATTTGTGCCCATTCCAAAGAACGGTGATCCAACAGAATACAGAAATTATCAAACAACATCGTTAGTGTCACACGAAAGTAAAATTTTGCTGAAGATTATTCAAAAGTGGTTGCAGTAGTACATCAGCAGGGAACTGCCAGAAATTTGGCCAGATTCAGAAGAGGATGTGGAATGAAGGATATCGTTGCTGATGTCAGATGGATCTTAGCTGAAAGCAGAGAATACCAGAAAGCTGTTTACCTCTGTTTTATTGACTATTCAAAGGCATTCGACTGTGTGGATCATAACAAATTATGGATACATTGTGAAGAACGGAAATTCCAGAACATTTAATTGTACTCATGCAGAACCTGTACATAGATCAGGTACAGAAAAGGGGATACTGGGTGGTTTAAAATCAGGAAAGGCATGCGTCAGGGTTGTATCCTTTCACCATACTTAATCAATCTGTATGCTGAGCAAATAATCCGAGAAGCTAGACTATATGAAGAAGAACGTGGCGTCAAGATTGGAGGAAGACTCATTAACAACTTGCCATATGCAGATGACACAACCTTGCTAGCTGAAAGTGAAGAGGACTTGAAGCATTTCCTGATGAAGATCAAAGACCACAGTCTTCAGTATGGATTATACCTCAGCATAAAGAAAACAAAACTCCTCACAAATGGACTAATAAGCAACGTCATGATAAATGGAGGAGATATTGAAGTTGTCAAGAATTTCATTTTACTTGGATCCACGATCAACACTCATGGAAGCAGCAGTTAAGAAATCAAATGACATATTGCATTGGACAAATCTGCTGCAAAAGACTTCTCTAAAGTGTTAAAAAGCAAAGATTTCAGTTTTGAGGACTGTCTTAGTTATCTAGTACTGCTATAACAGAAATACCACAAGTGGATGGCTTTAACAAAGATAAATTTATTCTCTCACAGTCCAGAAGGCTAGAAGTCCAAAGTCAAGGTGCCAGCTCCAGGGGAAGGCTTTCTCTTTCTGTCGGCTCTGGGTCCAAAAGATGCGTGCTCCTGGCTCTACTTTCTTGGTGATATGAGGTCCCCCGTCTTTCAGCTCACTTCTCTCTTTTATATCTCAAAAGAGATTGACTTAAAACACAACCTAATCTTGTAGATTGAGTCCTGCTTCATTAACATAACTGCCAGTAATCCCACTTCATTAACATCATAGAGGTATGATTTACAACACATAGGAAAATCACATCAGATGACAAAATGGTGGACAGTCACACAATACCGGGAATCATGGACTAGCCAAGTTGACATACATTTTAGGGGTACACAGTTCAGTCCATAACAAGGACTAAGGTGCGCCGGACCCAAGCCATGGTATTTTCAGTTGCCTCGTATGCATGCGAAAACTGGACAATGAATAAGGGAGACCAAAGAAGAATTGATGCATTTGAATTATGGTGTTGGTGAAGAATATCAAATATACCGTGGACTGTCAGAAGAATGAACAAGTCTGTCTTGGAAGAAGTACAGCCAGAATCCTCCTCAGAAGCAAGGATGGCAAGACTTTGTCTCACATACTTTGGCTATGTTATCAGGAGGGACCAGTCCCTGGAGAACGACATCATGCTTGGTAAAGTAGAAGGTCAGTGAATAAAAGGAAGACGCTCAACAAGATGAATTGACACAGTGGCTATAACACTGGACTCAAACATAGCAACAATTGTGAGGATGGTGCAGGACCAGGCAGTGTTTTATTCTGTTATACATAGGGTTGCTGTGAGTTGGAATTGACTCAATGGCACCTAACAACAAGAACAGCAGTGTTTTTGTATGTTCAATAGCTATTATTGAACAAGTCATGAAAATAATTTATTGGAATACAGTATTTACTTAGGTTGGGCCTAATTCTCAGGCCACATGAGATGTGGCATAGCGAGACAACTAAAAGCAGGGACACTGCTGCTGAGCATCCTAGGCTCATATTCTATGTGTGGCACTTTAGTTTTAATTTCCTTCTTTAATTTCCTCATCTATAAAATGCAGACAAAGCATGAGAGGGTATTCTTGTTACCTACTGCTACAGAATAAACAAACAAAAAAAAACCCATTGCCATCGAGTCGATTCTGACTCATAGCTACCCTATAGGACAGAGTAGAACTGCCCCATGGGGTTTCTAAGGAGCAGCTGGTGGATTCGCACTGCTGACCTTTTGGTTAGTAGCCAAGCTCTTAACCACTGCGCCTTTAGGACTCCAATTTTAGTGGCTTAAAATAAACCGCCATCCTATTATGTCTCAACATTTTGTGGGTCAGGAGTTCAGGAAGGGTTTGGCTAGATGATTCTTTTGCTCCCTGTGGTGTCAGCTGCACTTTCTCGGCGTTATTCAGTTGGTAGCTGTGCTGGTCTGGAGGGTCCAAGATGACTTCTCTCACATACCTGGTGGCTTGATGAGACGATTGGAAGACTAGGCTCACTGGCCCCTCTTCCTTTACTTGTAATCTCAGGACCTCTCCAGTGGACTCTCCAGCAGGGTAGTTGGACTTCCTACACAGAGACCTAGGGTTTCAAGAGACTATGGCAGAAGCTGCTGGTCTTCTTAAAGGCTAGGCCCAGAACTGGCCCAGAATTGGCACAGCAACTCTACTGGTCAAGGCAGTCACAGGCCAGCCCAGATTCAAGAGTCAGAGAATTTGCAGTCATCTTTAATCCATCACAGGGAGTCATGGGGGATGTTGGGGACGGTTTGAGGTGCAGGGCAACAGCTCTTCATTAACCGGCTTCAGCATCCTGGAGAATTTCAGCTCTCATAATCTCTTTTTTACAGACGAGGAAACTGAGATTTAGAGAGGTTGTGTGATTTGCCCAAGCCCTAGAGATACACATATACCTTTGCCCTTTAGACTCTCTGAGAGGTCTGCACAAAAGAAACTGTTGATATTTTCCTAGCTTATGGGGCGATAGAACACTCTTTACGAGGTGTGCCTGTTAATGACCTGTGACACGAACTTTGAGGAACTGCTACATTAAACCTTTGAATCATCCAGCTTGCTCCTCTGTGCTCTCAATTAGTGATAATGTCTCCCGAGTGGCGCAAATGGTTTGCACTGGACTGCTAACCTGAAGGTTGGCGGATCAAACCTACCCAGAAGCACTGCAGGAGGAAGACTTGGCAATCTGCTTCTATAGATTACAGCCCAGAAAACCCAATGAAACATTCCTACTCTGTAACACATGGGGGTGCCATGAGTTGGAATCGACTCCACAGTAACCGGTTTGGTTTTTTTGGTTGGTTTCTGATGTAGGCCTGCCTCAGAGGAGAGCTTTTTAATGATGCTACCATGAGCATCCTGATCAGGGTGACAACAGTATTTCTTATTGTAAATTAGTACATTGATATTCTAGAGAGTGCTTTGTATTATTCTTGCTATTTTGTGTTCTGTCTTCTTTTTGTGTATGGTTGGCTTTAGGCCACAAGGAAATGCGTGGAATGTTTTAATAAGACACTAAAACATAGTTTAAAATTTAGAAATTCCAGAATTGAGTTACCCCTAAACTTACTTCAAATACCATTCTCTCAAATAATTCATTTTTTGAGTTTTCTAGCTAGCTAAGATTTGAATTCTCATAAAATTCAAAAGTAACCTTCAGGGTAGCACATTCAGAGAGTGTGGCCTGAAACTATAATTTCTGACCATATTCTTAGCTCCTGTCTCAAAGAGCTATCATTGATTTACAGTGACAGCATCTGCCAGCTAGGGTGACAGAGGACACCTTGAAGGAGAGAGCCAATGTTTTACTCATGCTGGTGTGAGTAAAATGAGATTTCCCCACAGTTGCTTGAACTGTATTTTTATATTATTCTGAAATTCCTTCTAATCCAACAAGGTTTTACTGCTTGCAGTAGTAAGGACAAGAAAGCATTTTCACCAGAAGAGATGAAATAATCATAAATAAAAACCAAGACAAAAAGGAATCACTGTTGACTTGTATATCTCTCCTCCTTTTAACCTTGGTTGGTGTCACCAAGGGCTTAACCAGGTGTCCGTCAGGGAAGAAGTGTGTGTAGACTCTGTTTCACATATGCCACAATTTCTTTTTTGTTGACCATGTCAGTGTAGAAAGTGAACCCACATCTGGTTTTTCAGGTCTGTAAATAACCAGTATTGCAAAAAGGTGATTGGAGGGATGGTGTGGAACCCAGCCATGCGGAGATCTTTATCGGTGGAACATTTAGAAACCAAGAGTCTACCTTCTCGATCCCCTCCTGTTACTCCCAACTGGTATGTCCTCCTCTTTTTGTCCTACTCACTAATGAGCACTTTATCTCCTTTAAAAATAAAAATGCAACTTCATAAATTCCTACATATAGGTGGTCAACAGTCTGAGTTTACATTTGCATTTTTGGCTATCGCAGAAGGAACTGTTTCCATGAAGTATACAAGTCTAGCGAAACATTTTCCATGGTGTAATAATGCTTTGACATTCTTTTTAAAAAAGTTATTTGATCTAAATAAATTGGGAACTGCAGCATGATGAAATGCCCCTCTTGGAATGACAGTGCATATTAGTATATTAAAGGCTCTTTATCCTGGGATAAAGAAGCACATTCAGGTTTATTTAATTTCATGTTCCCATTAATATCATACAAAATAAACTTTGGGAAAAGCTAATAAAGGTGCATGATAGAATTGATGTAAGGATGTGTGACCCTAAGCAGCAGTAGCAAATAAATGCAGGTAGAACAGCTGCCTACTAACTTTTAAGCACATAGGCCCAGCTAAAAGGAAGGAAGTGGCAGTTTGGCAAAGTAGAAAGATCACTAGGTCAAAGCTGAAACACCCAGATACAGATTTTTGGCTCTTGTGTTAACTAACAAGTTTCTTTACCACCCTGGTCTCAGTTTGCCTATCTGTAAAAGGATTACAAAAATCACCACAAATTAAATAATAATGTACAAGTGTTTTGTAAGCTTATAAAAAAAAGCATCAGGGGGGATTATTATTCTTATCCTGCTCCCCAAAGACATCAGGCCATTTTTGCAAATGCCTCCAAAAAGCCAGGCCTTGGGAGGAGGGGAAACCAAGCAGGAAACATTGCCCCCAACTCCACTCTTCAAAAAGAGTATGGTTTTCTGGTCGTTAACACTGCAGACAGGGTGGGCCTGCAGATTCCCAAGCAGGTGTCCACTGTGACTAAAGGAAACTGTAAGAGGGAGGTGAAAAGAGGAGGGAGGAGCACAGGGCCGCTGGGCCAGGACTTTTCCCTGGGGGCCAGATGCTCCTGGCAGGGATGATGATGGTATTTATAGTGCTAAAAATCATGACATGACTGGATAGGTTTGTTTCTTGGTTCCCAAGGTTTAGGCACCTTGTCCTAAAGAGGTAAATTTATGCTATAATGTAGCAGCTTAATTTATCTGGAAATATCTTAAGCAGCAACGCCAGCGACCCAAAGAACAGGCCCAGGACAGAAGCCAGGATGGTGGCGTGGCGAGGTGGTGCCACACTCGTGGCCTGGAGCGCTTCTGACTATTTACAGGTCTCCTGAGAGTCATGAGGGCCTCTACTTCTGACATAGACTCAGCATTATTGATTATCCAGGTCCAGGGGGGTTGCAAATAGCAGAGGCCCTGACCCTCCCAAGGAGAAATGGCTAACAAAGAAAGGGAAGATAGAAAAAGTAGGAGACGGTAGAACTTAGAAAGCTCACAGCCTGGTTCACCCATGGGAGGAGCCAACACCCAGGTGCTGTATCAGGTGTTCTGAGAATATTGCCTCATTTGATTAATTCTCAGGAGCAGGTAGGTACAGGTGAGGCCCAGAGAGGTGACATGATGTGTCTAAGGTACATGGCTGCTGCTGCCACTGGAGAAACGGGGCTGTGCCCCTTGCCCATCTAGCTCTACATTTCACCCAAAGAAATGTGGTAGAAATAAGGATTGAGTTTTGCAAAGAAACGTACTTTGGCACCTCAACCCTTTAACCTGTTCGAGTGAATCAGAAAAATTGTCTGATCGGCAGTCAATATGGTCTATGTCTTGAGAGCTTCAGTCTTCCTGGAAGAATAACTTACTCTAAATCAACATGCATCATCTTCCCAAAGGGCATAAACCAAGCCAGTACTGCCTAACCATGAAGCTGAAACTCCTGTTCCAGGGCCACACCACTTGGCTGATAGTATTGGGGATGTGTGTCACCCTTCCCAGATCCTCCTGGTATAGTAATGAGTTAACTGGCTCTTGATTCCTAATAACAACCAATCAGGTCATTTCCAGAACGTTCAGGGCACAAAGTTAGATCACTGATGTCTAAAACATTTTAAATGGAATTTGCTTTTAACAATTTACATTCACCCTTTCCCCAACTCAGGCGAAGTCCTCGGCTCCGGCATGAAATCCGAAAGCTACGGCACTCTTCTGCAGACAACCTTGCCAATGAAATGACATACATTACAGAGACCGAAGATGTATTTTATACATACAAGGGCTCTCTGTCCCCAAAAGACAGCGATTCCGAGGTTTCTCAGAACCGAAGCCCGCTCCGAGAGTAAGAAGCTTATGTTATTTTCTTTCTTTGTATCTGCTTATTTTGACTGTTGAGGATTTTTCACAGACCCAGGTTGCCCTTTGAGAGGAATCAAGGGCCAGGCCCTACAGCCAACTCCCCAGCATAGCTCTCTGCCAGGATCAAAACGTAGTCAGACTCTCTACCTTCCCCCACATGAAGACAGCCTGTGTGCCTGATGTCCAGAGCTTACACTTCCTTCTGTCTACAAAAAAGATCTTCTACTCTCCAACTTCTTGTTAGCAATCTTGAATAGTCTCCTCTCTAGTTCGTGAGCAAAGCCCAATTTAAATCATTCCGTATTTGAGAGGTCTAGACTCTAGGACCGTGTTGACTATTATTTCTCTAGATTCTCCAAGTTTTACCTCAGCATGATTTCATATCTCTGGGAATATGCTCACTTCTATCTCTCCACACAAAGCCTTCTTGGAATCACAGTATGCCCTCAGGGCTTTCGTTTTAATTAATGGTTACTATGAAGAAAAAGCATGTGTGGAATATCTCTGATTTTCTTTGTTAAAAATTTGTCAAGGACAGCTTACACTCTATTCTTTTATGTCTCCATTCTCCCCTTTTTTTAATGTGACAAATTCCCCTCACAGCTCAAGGCCAGGAAAAAATATATCTTTCCTAACATACTGGTTTGAGTGCTTTTGTTATTCAATAAGATATGTCTAATCCACAAATAATCAGAGAAGCTGGACTATGTGAAGAAGAACACAGTATCAGGATTGGAGGAAGACTCATTAACAACCTGTGATATGCAGATGACACAACCTTGCTTGCTGAAAGTGAAGAGGACTTGAAGCACTTACTGATGAAGATCAAAGACCACAGCCTTCAATATGTATTACACCTCAACATAAAGAAAACAAAAATCCTCACAACTGAACCAAGAAGCAACATCATGATAAACAGAGAAAAGATTGAAGTTGTCAAGGATTTAATTTTACTTGGATCCACAATGAGCACCACGGAAGCAGCAGTGAAGAATTCAAATGGCATATTTGCATTGGACAAATCTGCTGCAAAAGACCTCTTCAAAGTGTTAAAAAAGTGAAGATGTCACTTTGAGGACTAAGGTGCACCTGACTCAAGCCATGGTATTTTCAATCGCTTCATATGCATGCGAAAACTGGACAATGAATAACACCAAAGAACTGACACATTTGAATTACAGTGTTGACAAAGAATATTGAATTTACCATGGACTTCCAGAAGAACAAACATATCTGTCTTGGAAGAAGTACAGCCAGAATGCTCCTTAGAAGGGAGGGTGGCGAGACTTCGTCTCAAGTACTTTGGACACGTTCTCAGGAGGAACCAGTCCCTGGAGAAAGACATCATGCTTGGTAAAGTCGAGGGTCAGTGAAAAAGAGGAAGACCCTCAACGAGATGGATTGACACAGTGGCTGCAACAATGGGCTCAAACATGGCAACGATTATATGGATGGTGCAGGACCAGCCAGTGTTTCATTCTATTGTACGTGGGGTTGCTATGAGTCAGAACCAACTTGATGGCACCTAACAACAACAATCCACTAGTTCCCTTCTTGTCTTGATTACCAGGGAGCTCAGAGCTATGTGTTATGCTCACTTGTAGTAGCTTCTCTTAGCCCAGGTTTCTGATGAAGTCCCTTCTCTTCCTTCCTTGACTTCGTTATATGAGTCTTAACTTGTTCCTCTTGTTTTAATGAAGTCAAAGTTTTACTATATCTATACCTTTCAGGGTAAGCTATCTCAAATCGTTATTTGAAGTAGACAAGATATAGATCATACATACATAAAATGACTTTGTAAGCCAAAATATGATAGGAAAGGATAAACTGTTAGGAAGTCAGCCGTATTCATTGTGCACCCGTTCTGTTAAGTGCCATACTTGGCCCAAAATACAGAAACATAATGCCTCCCCTAACAACAAAGGATTAGCAAGAAGGCTCTTTATTTAATCTGTAAATGTCTATCACTTCAGCTGCTAGGCTTAAAGGATTAAATGTATTCTGATCATCCACTGAGCATTCACAGGTGAATTGCAAATCTCGCTTCCCTCTTACATGTGAGGTCATTACCTCCACTGTGTCCCTGAACACAGCAAACATGGTTTCCAGCTTATCTGTGGTCTTAACACCTCTGGTTAAATAATCCCTCTGCTCATTATTTTCTTGTGACCTCCTGAGCTTGGATGATGCTACCTCTTGCTCCAGCTTGCAGCCTGCTGCCTAGTTGAGGCTACAGTGGAGGCTGTGAGTTCCTTTTGTGACACTGTGGCTTTGGAAACCACAAGCAAGTCTAGAAATACAAGGCAGGAGTGCATGAGTAGAGCCAGTTTGATTCTGCAGTGAGGGCTGTGTCACTTTGGTGAAAGGAGAAGAGGATCCTAGGGACCTGACTGAGGGCTCTGAGAAGACCAATTGCGTGTCTCCTACGTCAGATCTTCTTACTGTGGTCTGCACTCACATCATGGAATTGTAGAGTTTCCAGCATAGTCAGCACTAGCCACATGTGGCTATTCAAACTTAAATTAATTGAAATTAAATTAAAAAATTCAGTTCCTCAGTCACACTGGCCTCATTTCAAGTGCTCAATGATTACGTCACAGATACAGAATATTTCCCTGATCGCAGGAAGTTCCATTGGATGGCACTTATCTAGACTAAGCCCCCAGAATGTCTGCAAGTTAAAAGGGCATTTCTCAAATGGAAATTGAGTGTGAGTGGGTTTGGGATCATCTGTTAACTTGCAGTATGGGCTTTCTCCCATTTCTACCATCTTGCTGCTCCTCTGTGGAACAAAGGGTGGATGGTTGGCTTCTGAGAGCCCTGAGGCCCAGCATCCTCAGATATCTCATTACACAGTCATTGCCAGGTGGAGGAGAGATGAATTCTTTCCAGTGACTTATGGACATCTGGGAGTCCCTGGGGGGTGCAAATGGTTAAGCGCTTGGCTGTTAACTGAAAGGTTGTAAGTTTGAGTCCACCCAGAGGCTCTTCAGAATAAAGGCCTGGTGATCTGTTTCCGAAAAATCAGCCATTGAACACCCTACAGCGCACAGTTCTACTCTGACACACATTGGGTTGCCATGAGTCAGAGATGATTTGAAGGCAGCTAGTTTTATGGACGTCTTAAAGGAATGCATTCATTCCTGCGCTCCGCAGCAGAGTTTGCTGGTCATTGAGGGGAACACTGAAGTGAATTAGTCTTCACCTTCGGAGAGCCACCAGGTCAGCTGGGCAAATAGCACATCAGCAGCCCTTATGATTGCACTGTCACAGTGTGGGGCTCTGTCACTTTTTGGAAGAAGAGGGTTTAGGGAACTGAGGGTTCTGAAAGCCCAATTACATTTCTCCTACGTCAGATTTTCCTACTGTGGTTTGCAGTCACAGTGTGGAATTGTAATGCCTCCAGGCCTTCACTGTCCAGTACAGGAGCTGATAGCCACATGTGGCTATTTAAATTTCAATCAATTAAAATTAAATAAGATTTAAAACTTACTTCCTCAGGTTCTGATCAAGTAATTTCTGGCCCGACTCACCTCTCCGCATTGCACATTGATTCTTTTTGAAACTCCTGTGAGACCTTGTAAGATGTGTCATCCTGGGGCACTCTTTACTTTGCAGCTAACTTCAAAAGTAGCAAATAATGGTGATTCAAAGGCAGCCTTCCTTGTCATGGCTTTGCCAGGTGCACTGACAATAGACACCTCCCAGCGTCAAGTCAGGAGGAACATGCAGCTGTGCTTTGCAAGTGGGATGAACTGTTGGAAAACTGGCATCCTTATCACCTCAGTTCAGTAGGGGCCCTCTTCCTGCTGGCAGAGAAGCCTCCTGGTGGGTCTTCAGAGGCAGCTGGCCTTTCAGGGCCGGGGGACCCTCTACTGCCCAACGCAAGAAGGAAAGTTTGGTCTGTACTTGGTGGGAAAAACTGTTTGGTACTTCAGTGAGTATTTGCAAAATGTTTAAGAAATGTTTGACATGTTTTATACAGCAGATTTGTGTGAAGAGGCAAAAAGAAGTATTATGTCAGAGAAATCAGATGAATTATATCACAGACAGCGAGGAGGGTTCTTTTTAGAAAGAAGAATTAAGTGTAATGTTCTGTACCCATTTTAAAAGGAAAGAAAGAAGGAACACGGTTAGACATTGGCTCTAAACCCAAAGTGACACGGCTCAGCTTTCTGAATAGGATGAGTCACTCGCCGGTTCATTTCATATTTATAGCAGCAGAGCAAAGTTTATGATTATAGTTACGAATCCTTGGCAGTTTGCTTTGTGCCAAAAGTAGGCTGTACTCTTTTGTTACTCCCAAGGTTCTATCAACCGTTTTATGTTCTTTTCCCTCCTTTAGAGCAAAGACCAAATTCTGCAGAGAAATAAGTTTTCTTCGTTGCAAAACAACCCCACCATCCCTGGCCCAGGAAAAGGGGGAGAAAAGTCATTTTTTGTTGTTATTTTATCAGAGCTGTTTTGATGGGTCACTTCAGAGTGAGTGAGGCTTCATATCATCCTAACTCCTTTGCTGTTAATTTGTTTGCCTCTTAATTTAGAACTTGTCTTGTTCCACAAGATTTGGGGCAGCTGTCACTTTTTTATTTCAAAACTTCTGCTTATTGGAAGGGGCCTTGGGGATCCCCTTCTCCAGCCACATTGGCAGTGGAAAAATTCCCTCCACCCTATCATCTGGTCATCCAAGGCCTAAGAAGCCTACCAGTGACAGAGGGCTCCCTTCCAATATGGCAGCCCATTCTGTTGTTGGACAGGTCAGTTGTCCAGTGCTCTTCCCTAGCTGTACTGAAAGTCTTCTCATGACACTGAGCCACCATGAGCATTGCTATCCATAGGTCCCTGCTTCATGCTGCTAGAATAACACAAATACAACCTGTTTCCTGTTCTACCTGACAACTTCAACTTGTTTAAATTAAACCATTCCAATTCCTTCAACCCTTCTCCTCTCTTCACCCACTCAGTCACCACTCTCTGAGTGTACCTCAGTCCTTTATTAGAGGATGACACCCAGAGTTGATTTTGGGAAGAGGATTTGTATACCATCTGGGCATCTCCCTCAGAGGACAGCATCCAGGGACAGAAATTCATTAAGTTTTTGTGTTTTTTTTCTCTGGAACTTGCCTATCTTTCCACTTGATTTTGGCCCACTTGCATGTAGACGTCTCACAAATACCTTAAATCCAACTCAGCCCAATCTCAACTCATCATCTCCCTTCATGTCCAACCTATGGCTCCTGCTGCATCTTGGTGAGTGGGACCATCATTTGAATACTATTCAGTTTGCACCTGTTAGAAACTTCAGTCACCCCTGACTCCTCTTTTCCTTTTACCTTCCTCATCTAATTTGTCACCTTGTTAATTCTGTTTCCTGTGCATCTCTTGAATTTGACCCTTCCACCATCCTGCCTGCACTGCCCATTTGGCCACCATTGTCTGTTGCATGGGCCATTGCATTAGTATCCTACCTGCCTTCCTGTCTTTGCTGCCTTCTCATTGCTTCTCGTTATTTGATGTCCTCCTCACCATCTGTCTGTCCATCCTCCACACTAAGCAGAAAGTTCCTGCAGCCTGCAGTTGATCAGCCAACAAAAAACATCGTTTGTTTAAATAAATTAGTGTCTAAAAGTAACCTTTCTATCTTTACTTAGAAAATATGTTCAGGCATATGATGGCCTTGAATATATTATTTTTAGTACTGTGGACTACCTTAGATAGACCATTAAGTTTTTTTACTGACAAACAAAAATACTTTAAAACCTCATATGGTGAAATCCACAAATTGAAGATAACCATGCATGGGTTTTTTTGGTTTTGTTTTGTTTTTTAATAATCTAAAAAAATATTTTTTTAAATATTACAATTGTATTGAAATTAGTCTGTTCTCTTTTGCTTCATTACCTTGTTTTTCAGTTTTTTGTTTATATGCTGTTCACGCTTTTCATCATTGACACCCTTCACATTCTTCCAGACATTTGAACCGTTGTAGGTACTATTTGCAACTTCTTCACATTCAAGGTTCAGGTCCCTTTTTGCCACTAGGTGGTGCTCTTGTAAACAATAAGTCTTCTTAAAGTTGCCCTACTTGGGGGAATCTTTTTAGCACCCTTTTAAGTAAATTAAAGTCTTATTCACTTTTGGTCTGAAAATTTCCCACTAGTACACAACTTCAGTTCCAAAATATCCTTTCACTGAAATGCCTTCCCTTCCATAACACCCTTTCTTCCTACTGGGCAATGCAGCCCTAAACAACTTTAAAGCCAAACTCTTCTCTTGCTTATAGGTATGTTTCTACACTGTCGGCCACTGAGGTGTTTTACTCAAATAGATTGAGATTGTGAATCTTTCTGCATGAATATAATACGGATATCATATTATGTTATATTTAAAGTAGGCTAATTTGAACTTTCTAGGAAAAAGAGCATTATTGTAATGAAAAATCCCTGGATACGGCCTTTGAAATAAAGCTTGAGTCAGAGGTAGTAGGAACCCCTGGGTAGTGCAGATGGTTAAGTACTTGGCTACTAACCAAAAGGCTGGAAGTTCAACTCCACCTAGAAGCTCCTCGGAAGAAAGGCCTGGCAATTTACTTCGGAGAAACCAGCGATGGAAAGCCCTACGGCACACAGTCCCACTCCGACATACCTAGGCGCCTGAGTCAGAGTAGACAGCAGCCAGTTAAGAGGTGGTAACAGCTGCCTTCTGTTTACGTTTCACGGGCCTGTCTTCATCCAGTCACCTCTCCCATCAGTTAACCTTTATGTGAGGTTAAAATGTGGTAGAGTCTGTAGAGAGAGGGAGAACCCCATGTTTCATAGGCTTTTTAAGACATCTTTTTCTAGGCTTGGCTCTGGAAGAGGTTTAGTGTAGGGGTGTGTTGATACAGAAAAGTCAGTCTCCCTGTACAGTTATGGCTGAGATGGCTAACACCTGTGGCCCTGTGCGGTCAGAGCTGGGGTCTTAGGAGCAGACTTGGTGTGGTCTGGAGACGAAAGAATGCTCAGGAGCACACATCCATCAGACTCCTGCCCACTGAATAAAGGAAAATCTGTGTGAACTTGGGCAAGTCACACGGCCTTTCTCAACCTCACTTTCTTCATCTGTGAGGTGGAGTTGGGCTAAATGACCACAGAGGACTATTAAGTTCTAATAGTCCGTGATTCTCGAAGACAGTGCTGTCCAGTAGAACTTTCTGTGCTGATGAGAATGTTCTGTCTGTGCTGTCCAGTGCAGGAGCCACTAGCCACATGTGGCTATTGAGCATTTGAAATGTGGGGTTGATATGGCTGAGGAACTAACTTTCTAATAATAATTTATTAAAATTTAAATAGCCATGTGTGGCTACTGGCTCCTGTATTAGACTCTGCAGCTCTAAGATACAGAAGTACAAATGGTAAACACACTTGGTTGCTGACCAAAAGACTGGAGAGTCAAGTCCACCCAGAGGTGCCTCAGAAGAACTGCCTGAAGACCTGCTTCCAAATATCAGCCATGTAAAACCCTGGGGAGTATAATTCTACTCTGACACACGTGGGGTTGCCATGAGTAGGAATCGACTCAGCAGCAACTAGTTAATATTAGAGAAAAATAAAACATACTATCTCATTGTGGGAGTCCAATGCATGTTGTAGGCAAATAATACAAACTGGGAATAATATAAATTATTTTGAACATACAATAGTAGTCCCATTTCCTTCAGGTAGCCAAGAGTCCTGTGAAGCATAGCTATTAGCAGGAATGAAAGGGGGGAAAGAAAGCTTCTGGAAGGAATAGAAACCTATGCATCTGACTAAGCTTGCCTGGCAGAGCCTGGTTCAATAGTTAAACCACCTATAGTTGGACCCATGCCCCTTTCGCCCTTCTAAAGCAGCAGGGAAGGGAGCTGGGTTTTCGGCTGTTCTTGTATCCTCCCTGCCCTCTTTCCCCTTTTCCTCCAAAACCAAAGGTGATGACATTGGGCCAGATGAGGGGAAGGGCAGCAGCCGGTGGTGTGTGAGAGCCCTGGGGTTGAACTCTGGGGCTCTGTAAGGTTTAGGGGATATTGGACAACCCTGAGACACCAAGCCCCAACAGTCAGTAATGTTTGCTCTGATGAAATATCAATCCGGTTATTAAAATATCTCCTCCTTCCCCATGACAAAGGAGCATATCCGAGAACAATCCAGCACAAAGCTGCCTGACCCAGAAGTCATCCAGTTCTGTGTCTCCATCTTCAAATGCTCCAGGCTCCTGCTCACCAGACGGTGTTGACCAGCAGTTCTTAGAGGACTACCATAGGGTGACCAAAGGGGTCTCCACTGAGGACTCCAGCCAGTACTACTGTGACAAGGTGAGCGAGTGGACAGGTGGCCCACACAAGCTCCAGTGCCAAGGTGCTTCGTGGGCATTTGAGTGCTTATGACTGAAAGAAAAAAAAATCTATCATCAACAGCTGGAGAGAGAAGTAGCATAACTGACCACTTTCCAATGCTTTCCAGAACGATGATGGTGATGGCTACTTACTCTTGATCCGTATCACACCAGATGAAGATGGAAAGTTCGGATTTAATCTTAAGGTACACTGTGTGTATTTATAACAGATTTTTATACTATGAAGCAATCTTTAGATGAATTTTAATTCCCATTGGAAATGTGCCATATACCTAAAGCTATGTAAGGATATTGGCTCAGCCCTCAGAATTGGGAGTTTGGGTCGCTATGAGTCGGAATCGACTCAGTGGCAACGGGTTTGTATGTGTTTTTTTTTGTTTTTTTTTTTTGGTATGTTGCCATGGCAGCTGCCTCATCCTGAGTGCCTGCTTGGTGCCTGGCATCTGCTGAGCACTTGATTTATATCACCTCACTGACTCCTAATAAACTGTGAAGTTGGTATGCTTATACCCACTTAACAGAGGAATACTGAGGCTTAGAGAGGTTAGGCACACAGCTAGCAAGCAGGTCTACCCCCTGAAGAGGGATTATTTAATAAAACAGACTTGAGAACCCCTCAGCATTTCTTAAGCTGATAAGAAAACAACTGTTTCCAAGTTCATCACCCTCCTCTGCAGGCCTTCAGGGTAAAGGTCCCACATGTTTTCATAAATACAGTTAAGCGTTCTTGGAACAGGGCCACACCTACTCGTTTACAGACTGTTCGTGGCTACTTCTGCACCACAAGGACTGAGGTGAGTAGTTACAAGAGACCTCTGTCCTACAACAAATATTAACTATCTGGCCCTATACAGAAAAAGCATACTGACCCCTGCTCAAGGGCAGGTGTTCTGTACTGTCCACTTCCCGGCTGCCGTTGTTCACAGCTCCCAGAGACCCCAGCAGCCCAGCTGAAGATCTGCTCTTAGGTGTCAGAAGCCCTCACAGCATGTGACCTTTCCTAAGTACCTCTCTTCCACTGAAAACTCCCTTTTCTAGCAGCACTTAGAAGATGTGCCATGGAGGGCCCTTTCCTCAGGAGTGTTAGCATTTTAGAAGAGGAACCTGCTCCCTCTCTGTGCCTCGCTAGTTCAGGAAGAATGGGGTTGGTGGTGGGAGGCTTCTGAGCAGAGTCTACTCCTGGTTAGCACACTAGACTCGGAGGGGTCGGGAATTTTGTACCATGATTCTGAAAGGGTGCCGACCCTGTGATTAGAACAAGTCAGAGTGAAGTTCGAGGCCTCCCGTGTGCTGGGAGGACCCACTTTGTTGGCATCTGTGCTTCTCTGTTGCTATGAGCTGAAGCATTGTTTTAATTTAAAATGTTTATAGGGAGGAGTGGATCAGAAGATGCCTCTTGTGGTATCAAGGATAAACCCAGAGTCACCTGTAAGTAAACATGTTCTGTGTTATTCCCCTAAATCTAACAGGTTTCTATTTCTGTGTTCTGTTTCTTTTCTGCCAGCAGCAGCGTGTGTGTGTGAATGCACGCATCTAGCTGGAGGGAAGTGTAGAATCCATGTTTTCACGGTGCTCAGTGTGGTTCATGGAGCGGCAGCATCTGCCTTACCTGGTGCTTATTAGAAATGCAGAAGCTGGGGCCCACTCCAGACCTGCTGCACCAGACTCTGCATTTCAGCAAGATCCCTGGGTGATGTGCATGCACAATGAAGTTTGAGGACTGCTGCTCAAGAGAAGGAAATTGGGGCACAGAGTTTGCTCTGTCTTGCCCACTTTGAGCAGGACATGGACCCTGTGCCTTCCTCTCTACCATCCCACCTCTTGCACCCTCAGCTCTCTGTTTAGGTTTCCTAAGGAGCTCATTTGCTATTATAAAGCAGCATTAGAGCTTTAAAGAGACACTGTGTCTCCTAGGATGGAGCCCTGGTGGTACAGCGGTTAAGCCCTTGGCTGCTAACCCAGAGGTCGGCAGTTCGAACCCATCAGCCACTCCACAGGTGGAAGATGTAGCAGTCTGCTTCCATAAAAATTATAGCCTTCGAAACCCTATGACAGTTCTTCTCTGTCCTACAGGGTTGCTATGAGTTGGAGCTGACTTGACAGCAGCAGGAGTGGGTGCACTCTAAGAGGGTACCAGCTTGAGGGCTTTACTCTTTAGTAGCTCTTAAGCATGTAGTTTATTTGTATTGCTGTTTGTGGCCTCTATGAACTAAGGAGGCTTTCAGAGCTATACTGTTGAGCTCATCACGTCTCTCCACAATGGGCTCTGCCTCTGGCAGCACGCTTACAAAGCCTTTCTCCTTTATGAGATAAAGACTCACTTTTAACTGGCAAATCATTTTCCAGCAGTATGTCTAGAAAATAAAAGATGGGGAACATGATAGTCATTGTTGTAACAAGTAAAGGTTGGCTGCCGTAGAGAAATGGCTTTGGCAATTTTCTTAGCCTTATTTTAAAATGCCTCATAATTTACATTCCCAGCAGCGTTTCTTTAAGATCCCACAGCCAACTACCATCTAAACATAGCAATGGATGTAAAAATAATGACAGTGATACCTGAGGGAGTAAAGGTCCCTCATGGGGACCTCATGGTCTCAAGTGTCTGGGATCAGAGCACGGCAGTGTGGGTCCCCTTGAGGATCGCGTTATGGTAACCGAAGAAACTTGCCTTGTCCTCCACACAGGCGGACACCTGCATTCCTAAGCTGAACGAAGGGGATCAAATCGTGCTAATCAATGGCCGGGACATCTCTGAACACACCCATGACCAAGTGGTGATGTTCATCAAAGCCAGCCGGGAGTCCCACACGAGGGAGCTGGCCCTGGTGATCAGGAGGAAAGGTAACAGCCACCTGTGGGAAGCTGGGGCGGGGGGGGGGGGGGGAGGGCACTGCCTTAGCAAAGCAGATTTTATCTGGCTCATGGGATGTTTTTGAAGATGCTGAATTTGTAGCCAACACTGAAATCAAGAATGTCCATGTAACCACCTAGACGTCTGGCTACTCACTTGAAAGATTAGAATATCTGCCAACATGGCACCTGGCCCCTTGTGGCTAGTCCTGCAGGTTGGCAGCACCCACCACCCCCTTTAAACAGGGCATGAGCCTGCCAGTTCCTCCCAGGCCCAACTTGGCTCATATCACACGCCTTTCTGAGCTGCCTGGCCCTGTAGACGTTTGCATTTTCAACCCCTTCTTGAGGACCAGGTTATATTTGATTCATGTGCATCTGGTTTTGCTGGGAAGGCAGTCAGCAGAGTGGGGCTGAGCCAGGCTGCCTTGGGTGCTTCCCAACACTGCCTCTTACAGGGTAAGGGAGCAACAACAATTCCTTACCCAGGGTGTGTTTTGGTTTCCTCAAATATAAAATGAGGATAAAAACAGTACCTAACTCACAGGGTTCTTGTGATGATTAAATGATACTTGTGCTCGAAAGCACCCTCTCTGCACCTGAGACATGGGAGGCAATTGAAGGATGGCCTCTACTGAGTACCACTGCTATAGTTGAGCTCGTTGTTATAAAATCATAAGCCAGCTTTAAACTGCTGCAAGTACATGAGGTATGTGGCTGCACAGCTTGGTCCCTGCATCTCTTTGTTCTTGGCCTCCCTTGTGTGGACATAGCCCATGCCCCCATGCATGTGTTTTCTTGCTTTCTCTCTATTCCCAGCAGAGCCAGTTCTGAGCCCACCTTCTCCATGAGGCCTTACCTGATCTCTCCGCATCCTTACCCACTCCCATCCACCTCCCCATCCCCACCAATTCCTAGCTCCGTGCTTGGTGCACAGTAGGTGTCCAGTAGTAACAGTAGCTGGTGTCTGTGGAGCGCCAGTGATGTACTTGCAGTATTGTAACAGCTTTTCGTGAGTATCCTATTCAATTCTTCTATAAGGGTAGTAGCAGTATCCCCAAGCAAAGAAATGGAAACCAAGTCTCGGAGAAGTTAAGTTGTCCTGCTGCCAAATGACTGGTAAGGCCCCATGATAATAGGGGCTGGAGGAATTTCAAAGGTTAGGAGCAACCGTCCTCATAAACAGGAACACACCCTGTGACCCACTGAAGTCTAGTGGGCCTGCAGGACAGCCTGCTGGCCAGGTGGGCAGGCAGTCCTCCTCTACTGGTCCCTGGAAGGGCCTGGCACCTGCTTGAGGTGAAAAAAACTGATGTTTATAGACTATTCGAGCTAAAAGGATAGTGCTGCTGGTTTTCTAGTGACTGTAATGATAATAGGATTATTTTAAGCAAAAAAGTCAGCTGATTTAAAGAAAAGTAGTTGACTTTAAGAAAAACTGATAAGTAAACAGTAGCACAGGGACTAGCAAATAGGACAGAAGTCACAAAGGTTGCAGCAGAAGAGCTGAAATTCTTGGTGCAGTGGAAGGAATGTGTGCTTTAGGGTCAGATAGATGTGGACAGAAGTTCCATCTCCCACCCTGACAAGCAAAGTCACTTTGGACAGAGTATTTGCCCTGAGACTCAGTTTCCTCATCTGTGAAATGGATGTAATGACAACTGATTCAGAATTATTATAAGAATTCAATTCAACTATGTGGAGAAACGCAACAGTTGTTAACTTTCTTCTCCTTTCCTGTTATCTTTTTTTGTTTGTTTATTGTTGTAGTTTAAGTGAAAGTTTACATTTCAAGTTAGTCTCCTATACAAAAATTTATACATACGTTGTTATGTGACCCTAATTGCTCTCCCTATACTGTGACACTCCTCCTTTCCACCCCTGATTTCCCATGTCCCTTCAACTAGCTCATGACCCTTCTCATCTCACCTCCGGACAGAAGCTGCCCATTTAGTCTCACGTATCTACTTGAGCTAAGAAGCACATTCTTTACGAGTATCATTTTATGTCCCACAGTCCAGTCCAATCTTTGTCTGAAGAGTTGGCCTCGGAAATTGTTTTAGTTCTGGGCTAGTAGAGAGTCCGGGGGCCATGCTTTCTGGGGTTCCTCCAGTCTCAGTCAGACCATTAAGTCTGTCCTTTCCTGTTATCTTGAAGGCAGCAGGGAGCCACTGAAGGCTTTTGAGTAAAGGAGTGACTTCCCTTTCTAAGTGAAGGGGAAAATTCAGAGATAATTCCAGTTTTCAGTTTAGGGGGTTGGAGAAGGAAGGGACAGTCAACAGAAAGAGGCATGTGTGGTCGGGGAAGCTTTGTGCAGGGTGGGAGAAGAGGGAGTGTTAGATTGGTTTCTACCCATATTGTGTGTGCTGTGAAGGGAGAATTTTTACTAAAGAGGTAGGGCTGAGGCTCAGTGATGTTAGGACTAGAAGTGTTTACCTGGGAGCCTCCCACATGGAAATGACCTTGAGTTAGAAACTGAACTCTCAGGGTCAGATTGTGTCACCAAGAAACCACCAAACCTCACGCTGACACCCTGGAAAATGCCATTTTAAGGGAGCAAAAGAAAAGGAGCCCAAGTAGGAAGGCACAGGGGTGGAGGGACAGGTAGAAGAACAGCCACTTCAGAGAGAGCAAAGAGGAACATTGTATTTTCTTGAAACAACGTTCTTTCTCATTCCCTTACCTTTGGCAAAAGCCTCTGAGCACTAAACACCATCGTTTAAAACAAACCAGGAAGATTAGTATGTCATTTTGTATAATTAGCACATATTGAATCATTCAGTGAGAAGTATTGTCTTTGGTGAAAATGATTAGTGGTGCTAAATCATTTAATAAGATGTTTTAAACGATCTACATTCAGGAGTTGTAAGTGTAATTTTTTGAGGAAAACTGATAAGCGCGAGTGTTATTCCACAAGCCAGACACACTGTGTTTTGTACATTGCAGTTGTCCACTCATTTGCTGATATCAAATCTGAAGATGAACTGAACCAGCTTTTCCCAGAGACCATTTTCCCTGTGTGTCCAGAGGGTGGGGACACTCTAGAGGGATCCATGGAACAGCTCAAGAAGGGCCTCGAAAGTGGGACAGTGCTGATCCAATTTGAGGTAAGATTCAACTCATCGTGGCCCGGTAAGGACTGATTCCCCAGGCCTGGGCTACTTCCACAAGGCCTGTGTGGCGCCTGACCACTGCTGAACCACAGAGAAGTACAGCAGAGGGACGGAGCGGGGACACAACCTCATCTCCTGAAGTCGAGAGGGTTATCTGATTCACAAACCTAAAAGAATCAGCTGAGTCCCAGTGAGGACGGATGGGGTGAGGCCTGCACTCAGCACGGGGTATGAGTACACAGCAGGCAGCCACCCTCTTGGGATCAGAGCAGACAGCAGAGTGAACCTGAGAAAGCAGGATCGGGACCACTGCCTGTCACTGAACTCTGCCTCACCTTTTATTCTAGTAACGTTCCGTAGTCATGGAGAAACATGTCAGAAATTGAGGAGGAGGGACTCAGAGCATGTTTAACTGCTAACATAAAAGCTCGAAACCTCTCAGCAGTAGAAGGTAACAGAGAGGTGGCATGGCCAAGCAGCCTGAGGGATGACGAAGGGGCCGAGCCTCTGACCCCACCAGCCATGCTAGGTAATTTAGAGCAGTGAGATCATCCCAAGCGAGCATCATGTCTTGCCTTCCTAAGTCCCCCGGAACCTGTATGCACACGAGTAGAAACCAAAGTCAGACCCTGTCTTCCCAGGAGGAACATATACCCCATAGGATTGAGACCACTGACAAAGACACATGCACAGGCTTTTTACAAAACAAATCAGGACCAAAGGAGACTGGGGTTTAAGTCAGTTTTACCAATCACTAACAATTAAAATAGGATGTGTTTATCTTCCAAATCACTTAGAAGGTAAAACAGTGTTTTCATACAATGAAAGATAACAGAAGGAAGAGCACAAAGAAGCATAAAATAGGTGCTACAAGAAAACAGATCATGATTAACAATAACACACGGAGTCTGGATTCATAAGAACCAGAACCTCAGATCAGATTCCAAAACAGAAATCAACAATGTGTTGTTTGTTAGAAAGCCATATCAGAAAAAAGACACAGAAGCAAAACTAAGAAGTTTGTCCAATGTACTTGACTGCAGATTGATTGAGGAAAGATGCGTAATAGGAGTATCGAACAAAATATAATGCAAAGCACAAAGCCTTGAGAGAGAAACGTTTGTTTTATAATGGTATAAGGAAGAGAATGTAAACCAAACATATTATTAGAGCAGTGTGTATTGAACAACACTGGAAAGCAAAAACTCACAAAGGAAAGGTGAAGGTAACTGACAGAGAAAAAATTAATAGGGAGTTTAAAACTTTTAATTAATTTCCTTGACAGATAATATAGACAGAAAGTAAGTAGTTTGTGGAAAAGGAGCCCTGGCTGCACAATGGCTAAGCACTCAGCTGCTAACCAAAAGATCCTTGGTTCAAACCCACCAGCTACTCTGTGGGAAAAAAGACCTGGCAATCTGCTCCCATCAAGATTATAGCATAGGAAACCCTATGGGGCAGCTCTATTCTGTCCTGTAGGATTGCTATGAGTTGGGATCAACTCAGTGTCATACAACAATAACATTTTGTGGAAATGAAATCAGGAGCAATAATCACTTTGGTATAGAGCTGATATATACTGAGGATTGTATTCTACAAACAGAAATGTCCCCTTTTTCAGTGGCCTGCAGGAGGCTATCTATGTAGGCTTAAAATTCAAAAAAGAAAAAAAAATGTAGAGAATTATGTTCTTTGGTCCTGCATTGCAAAAAAAGTTCAAAATTGAAATATGTACTTTAGACAATAAAACTTATTAAAATTTTAAAACATTCTCCAAAATAATTTAAACAAGGAAGAACTTAAAAAGCAGCCACAGAATACATCAGATTTATTCTTTTTTGGTGTTGGAGGGGACATGAAAGGGGAGAAAGGCACAGTAGAGTCATTCTTCATTCAGCAAGTACATATTAGATATTTACTATATGCCTGACCCTGGGCCAGGAGCAGCGATGAGGGAAGGAAAAGTGGGAGGGGGATTTCTGGCCCCAAGGATCTTACATTCTAATTTTGGAATATTTGGGAAAACATGAGTCTCAAACAGCTAAAGACCAAGATAGGACAAGATTTTATACATGGAATGTTGGTTTGTCATACTGTTGTGGCTTGCATACTGCCGTCACGCTGGGAGCTATGCCACCGGTATTTCGAATTCCAGCAGGTTCACCCATGGTGGACAGGTTTCATCGAAGCTTCCAGACTAAGACAGACTGGGAAAAAAGGCCAGATGACCTGCTTCCAAAAATTAGACAGTGGGTCACAAAAGAATACTGTCCAATAGAGTACTGGAAGATGAGTTCCCTAGGTTGGAAAGCACTCAGAATACAGAGTGGCCAAACAGTGGAGTTGAGCATACCAGTGATCAAGAAGACGGTGCAGGACTGGGCAGTGTTTCATTCTGTTGTACATGGGATCGCCATGAGTTAGAGCTGACACAATGGCAACTAACAGTATAACAGCATGTTCTGTAGGAGCTGGAGGTGAGGGGGTTTTGGAGTGGGATGTAGGATTAATAAAGAATGGGTGGGATTAAGTGTGGAGGGGAGGGTATTCCAGAAAGGTCAAGGCCTGAATATAGACCTAAGCTCATAAGGTGTGAGGCAGCATAAGGAAATAGGCCTACCTGGGTTGGGCAGTGTGGCAGAGTGTTCTGGGAGGTGTCTCCAGCGGATGGAACGCCTTCAACCCAATGGGAACCAGTTCTGTTTGATCAGAGAGTCCACAAGGAGGTGCTGTGGGCTGTCAATGAGTAAAAAGACCACTCAAAGCCTAGACATAAACAGTACTGCATAAAATCCCCTTCACTGAGGTGGCTTAACTTACACGTGTTTTATTAAATAGGGGAATCACACATAGAATTTCCCTTGAACAGTGTTCCATCAGGTTTTTTAAGAAGGATGAAATGCTTTAGGGAGAAGTACCCAACCCCATCCCGCACTTGTTTTGGAGTAGTGTTTCTCTAAGGGTGACCCTCTGATTACCTGTACGGAAATCATCTGGAGAGCTTTTTAAAATGGGGCCCAACCTACGGCTACTCAAGCAGCAGCTCTGGTCTGGGACCCAGATATTGGTACTGTTAACCAGATCACCAGGAGATTGTGATCCACACCCTGATCCAGAGAATGAGAGGGTAGAGATCCTACTAGAACCATTATCCTGCTGCTACTCATCCTAAGTCTTTTCTTCAGAGGCATAGTTGGGTTATAGTATAAAAAATGAAGAACATACCAATTTTTGGGTTATATTTCAGTATGTACACATTTTCTTCATTCTATATGTTTCTTTTTAAATAACATCTTTTGCAGAATTCTAAAATTCGGAACACATGAAAGCAGAGCTGTTCCAGTTCACTTAAAACTTCCTCTCACCCTGACCATTCACCTAAAATTCACCCCTTCTAAGTGTTTTCACAAGAAGGTGATCCCTTCTTTTTGGCACAGGGGATTTTTTAAAACCAGGTCAACCAAAAGTACTTCTGTCTTGACTTTGTATTTCTAATGAATAATCAAATAAATGTGCAAACTTTTACCAATGGGAAGGAAAAAAACCCCAGAACTGTTCTGTGATGGAGCTGGGGGTACGTGGAGCCTGGCCTCTTCAGTCTCCCCTGCCCTGCACACCACCACAAGGAACCCTCAGCTAAATGGAACATAATTAGAAAAGCACTGCTCTAGAGGGGGAAAGATGTCTTAGACAGTTGCTGGAGAAGGAGATTGGATCAAATAAACTCTAATACAGAGGTGGCCGTTAATGAGCACTTACTGTGTGCCAAGGGCTTTACATATATTACCTCACTTAATTCTTGCAGCAGCCCTATACAGATACTGTCGTTATCCCCATTATATAGATGGAGAAACAGAGTCTCAGAGAGGTTAAGTAACCTCTTCAAGGTCACAGTAAATTGCAGAGCCAGGCTTGGAACCCAGGCAGGCTAACTCAAAAGCCTGTTCACTTAACCACTGTATGACTTTTGGAAACAACAAATGCTGTTTACATGTGAGGATAATCGTTAGTAATAGTACAACAGAGCTAGAAAGGATCTGAGAGGTTGTCTAGCCACCTGGATCCAGACAGACTTGATTTAAATCCTGGCTCTACCACTTCCTGTGTGACCTCAGGCATGTTCCTTAACCTCTGTGGCCTCTGTTTCCCCATCTATAAATTGGGTATCTCATGGGTTAGTTTTAGGGGTTAGATTAAATACTAAATGCATTGTCTGGCACACAGTTAACGAGTGCAGTAAAAAGTAACAACTGTTATTATTTATAAATAAAGAGAGTCTAAGAATATGCCTACGCTCCACACAAGAAGTACTCATGTCGTGCTTGGTTTGGAACCAGGGCTGTCTGATGCCAGAGTCGTGGTTGTTCTGCTTTTCTACCTGCTACCTCCAATGCTGTTAGCAGGTGAACAGCTTGGCTGGTGGGGGATGTGCTCTGGACAGGAAGAGGAAGAAGGGGCTGTTCCCCAGCAGGGTCTACAGTAGGTGCCCAGACCACCCACTCCACAACACAAAGGTCCTGCAGTGGAGTAGCTGGGCCATAGATAGCAACCCTTTGCTGATTTCCAGCAAAGCTTGTTTTGAAGCATTTTTGTCATTAAGGGAATTACCCATCCCTCCCATGGCTTTCAGTAAACAATTACAAATGTGTTCTGCAAAGCATATGGTCCTAGCTGTAATAAAAATCACACTTAATAATAATTAGCATTTCTATAGCACTTTGGAATCCACCAGGTGTATTTTCACATATGTTGTCTTGGTTGATCCTCATAGAATCTGTGAAGCAGATATGGCTGGAGCTATTAGGATCACTCTTTTATAGATGGAGAAAATGAGGCTCAGAGAGGCTAAGTGACTTGCCTGCCCAGTGTTGTACAGCTAGTCAGATACAGAGCTAAAACCAGAATATATGTTTTAAAAAAAAAATCTAGTTTGTTGGCAGCAGCTCACTGCTGCCAGGTGCAACCCAAGTCTTCACCCACCCTCAGCAATTAGC